GAGCCCGAAGCACAGCACCTTGAACTGCCAATGGCCCCTATCCGTGGAGAAGGCACTTTTTTCACGTGCCCCTGGCGAGAGGGGCACCTGCCAGTAGCCACTGCGCAGATCAAGGGAGAAGAACCACGAGGACCCTCTCACGTGGTCTAGCGACTCATCGATCCTCGGTAGGTGGTAAGAGTCTTTAGTGGTGACAGAATTTAGGCCCCGTAGTCAACACAAAACCTAAGTTTACCCCCTTTCTTAGGCACCATGACGACCGGCGCGGACCATGGGCTACCTGATGGCTCAATGAAATCAGCCCGCAACATGTCAACAATAGCTGTGTCTGCTGCTTCCCTCCTGGCAAGGGGAATACGACGGGGCCAAATTTTTATGGGTCGGGCGTCCCCAGTGTTGATTTCGTGCTGAACTAGGTGCGTTTGCCCTACCTCATCTTCCCCCCAAGCGAAGCTATCTTTAAAGTCCAACAGCAGCTGCTTTAACTGTCTCTGTTGTCTCTCATCCAGACCCTGACAGTTTTTCAGCCACACAACCTCGACGGCGTCGAAAGCTTCCTCCTTCCCCCCGTCGGGCTGATGGGGTGAAGGAGCCAGTGTGTTTTGGGCTACTGGGCTGCCTGTGCTTGCACCATTATGGGGAGTGAAGGCTGTCACCGCCGGAGACAGCTGCTGGGATGGCACAGCGACCAAGGGAGCAGCCGGGACGACCGGTGGAGTTTCGGCAAGCTTGGAGGAAGCCCCCTGCTGGCCCTCCCGAAGGCGACATTCCCACTGTTGGCCCCCCCGACAGCCTCAAAGTGCCCGCAGCTAAGTCCAACTGAGCCCCACAGTTTTTCAAAAAGTCCATTCCCAGTATACAGGGGTCCTGCACCGCTGCTACCCACACCGGACACCCTACAGTTCTCCCCCCCACAGTCACAGACAGCTGACACTTCCCTAACATGGGGGCTAGCTCCCCCGCGACAGTCCGTAGCAGGACAAGGGTCGGCTCCACCCGCACCCCAACAGGTAGTATGTCTGGTCTCACCCTGTGTCGACCAGGGCCAAACATTCCACCCCCTCTACCTTGACATTGCAGAAGTCCCCAACGGTGGTATGTCCCACCACAACTACCGGACTAGGAAACACAGCGGCAGCTGCACCCTGGGGGAGCAGGTCCCCACCCTCTTGCCTGCGCTGCTGGGTACCTCTTCTGCTTACTGTGGGTTCAGGGGCGGGGGGCGGGGGGGGGGGGGGGGGGGGCCCGTGCTGCCCCCTGTGCGAGAACCCGCTGTCGTTTCCCTGGTGACGGGAGAATCTGCCACACTCCCGCTGAATGTGGCCAGGCTGGCCACTAACCCAGCAGACAATGGTAGTTGAGGTAACACTGCATGTTGCATGGAGCCCCTCTCAATGACAAGCGAAGCAGTCTTGACCAAACCGCCCAACTCGTCGACCCACTCTGGTTTGGTGACCCCCGGCAGCCCGGCCGCCGCTGCTCTCACCTCTGGTTGACTGGCAACCTCCACTCTCACTCCCGATCAGCTCCCTCTTCCTGGCTATCTCCACTGCAGCCCGCAGAGATGCTGGGTCCGCCATCTGAACATGCTTACCCAGTTCGGTGGAAGAGAGCGCTCTAATAAAACTGTCCCGTGCCAGCTCGTCTTGCACCCCAATCGGCATAGTTGCATAAGCCCGCCTGGTCAGGCTCAGAATACCACTAGCCAATGCCTTTAATGATTCCCCCTGAAGTCTCTTTTTGTTACTCAGTTCAATCCGCAGCATGTTGTGCTGCCGAAACGGCTCCCCAATGCCTCCACTAGCGCACCGTAGTCGCCCCTCTCGTCCGGGGCTAGCATTAGCAGGCATTCCGACGCCTCCTCTGCCAGGCTCAGGGCAAGCTGTAATGCTTTCGTCTCGTCAGACCACCTCCCGGCTCTAGCCAACAACTAGATTTGAGTGAAATAAACTTCCCATTTACCTTGTCCATTGAACTTTGGTAGTTTAGCCGCTACCGTGGCTAATGGCAATAGGGCGCTGCCATCTCTGTTTACATAAGCAGGCCCAGCCATTTCCGCACCCGGTGACGTCGACATCCCCGTCGCCGTGACGTCTTCTCTGGTCGAGCGGTGTGAAGGAAAATCCGCCAGTTCTGCCATCTGGCTGACTGACAATTTAACTTCCGCCATGTGGCTCTCCAGCTCTTCTACAGCAGTCGCCGCCTGACCCTCCTGACCGGGTACCCCCGAGCCCACAACGGACACTTTGTCTGACTCTTCCTTAATTTTCCGCCTCGCCCCGAGCATCATGACCGTAGATGCGAGTCACACTAAAGCCAACCACGGCCTATACTGAAACAGCTAACTCGCCTAATCTCGATCTATCCCGTAGTTCGAAAGCACTTCTGACACCAATGTAATGACCCGGCTGGGTCATATAGGAAAAAGAGACGGACACCAGATGTGCAGGGCAGAACACAGGTTTATTCCTAAACTGGGCTATTGTTCAGGCCACAGTCCACACCGCTAAATTCCGAACGTACACAAATATACCATGTCAAGTTAAGGGTCACCCTCATAGGAGCAGATCAGGGTCCCGAACAGAAGAGAGAGAGATGAGACAGTAACCCCTATTTATGCATTTCAAAACCCAGCGGGATTACCCATCATACCCCCGCAACCTTTCCGTCTGTCCTGGCATATTTAACCCCTGCTAGCACCCATGAGAACAATAACACACCCACGAACACAGAACACAATACCGGGTTGTTACAATATAATGTAGGTAGGCCATGCATGGCCTCACACACCAGTACAGTAGGTAGCGGTGTATGCACCTAAAAGTTGGATGCGATCTGCCAACCAAATCCCAAAGAAGACCATCTAAAATGTATCATTACGCATACATTTTCCACACTGCTATATAGGTTGTTATCTTGCCCAGTTACTTGGTTTATTACAAAATGACAACTCTACATTTTATAACACTACATTTTACAACACAATGATAAGCAGGAAACAGGTGTTCAAGGCATGTTGTATTTTATCTAGGAAAGATTAGAAATTCTGTAAACAGTTTAAGCAAAATTAATTTTCAAAAGAGATGATACAGTTTCAATGTTTGCTTCCAATTTCAAGAGATGTGCTATTTAACAAATACATGACAGTACATCTTTTGCCACACAAATTTTAAAGTGGAGAAATTACTAAAAAAGCTGCAGTTTAACTTTTTGAACAGCATTTGTTATAGTATTTAGCACAATGTTGAAAACATTTACAGAAGCAAATTCCTCAGAGCTCCCATAGAGCCCCACAGTGGAGGTGTCATAATACCTATAAAACCTAGCGGTCTAACAGGAAAATGGTTCCAATAGTTTTTCCGGCATTCATTTTTCCCACAGGTTATTTTAGAAACACTTAAAATAAGGGCTGTGTTTTGTGTAGGCTTACCCTGGCATAACGTTTTGATAACTATGTATCGCTCTCTCGGACAAGGTGACTTATCAATATATTCGGCTCCATTTACTCTCAGATTCGAAAATGCTAATTAACATCAAAGTAGACATTATGCAAGACTACAAATCCTTGCAAGCTCCTGCACATCTCTAGTCGACAGCTTTGGTAATGGTATTGCGTCAATTTAAAACTTGCACAAGACAGTTCACAGAATTGTAAATTTAAAGTCATTTTGCCAATTTATTCAGTACAGAATTTAGCTATTATTAGATAGTTAATCCAGAGATTCTTACCTTTGCCTCGATTCGGCAGTCTCGTCCAGATCATGGCATTTGTAGTTCTTTATGATAGCCACATTAGCAGATAATTAGCATGTTATTTTTGGGGGGTAAATACAGGCGAATGTATTGATAAAAGTCACCTTGTCCTAGAGATTTACACGGTTATCAAAACGTTATGCCAGGGTAAGCCTACACTAAGCACTTATTTTAAAACATTTCCTTGTTTGACCGCTAGGTTTTATGGGTATTATGACTCATACGGTGGTACTCTAAGGAAACTGTTTTCTTTCACCCATGGTTTATGGCTCATTTACATGCTAATCGAAACTAGGAAACTCTCGACTTGCTTACTGGCACACGTGCCACGTTAGCAAGTCGGACATTTTAGAGTTCCCACTAGCACATGTACGCGGCATAATTTGGGGAGTTGGACATCATAAGCATGTACAAGGGTCATAGAAGTATCTTTCATTGGAAACACTGGGGTCAAATTACAAATCTGTTTGCCCCACTCAAATGAGAAACAGGTTTCAAGATAAAACATTATATGGAGAGAATATAGTCTGCCTACTATTGCACAGAAGTTGTGACAAAGCAATAAGAGCAGTTCAAGTCTCAGACTAATTAGGTCTTTGCACACAGTCACATAAACACAATTACAAATACACACACACACACACACACAACCAGGTCATACACACAAAATAAAGCAGCAAGATATACTACACCTAAAATATCAAAGGCCTCTCTTCATCTCACTTGTTCAACAACACATCCGCTGGGGTCTGGGAGCACAATGAAAATCTGAAGCCATTTCTGCTAAAAAAAACATCAAAAGTCAAATGTGTATGTTATAATACTGATCACAATGAAAGAAGTGATGTCTGTGAGGAGTGTGTTGTGCACACAAAGCTGAGCCTGTTGTGCACACAAAGCTGAGCCTGTTAAATGAAACAGAATTCTTTGATAGAAATGTTTATGTAGAACACATACGATTCAGTGTTATGCTGAAAAGGGAATCGAGTCTGTTCTATACATTACATTTCTACCTGAAACATTACAAGCATTGCTCCCCATATGGAATAATAATCACAGGTGGTAATTTCCTTGTTCCAAAAGTGAAGTTAACTACCCAACATGTGTTGTCATGATCATTCAGCCTCCTGTAGCTCAGTTGGTAGAGCATGGCGCTTGCGTCAGGGTTGTGGGTTCGTTTCCAACGGGGGGCCAGTATGAAAAATGTATGCACTCACTAACTGTAAGTCGCTCTGGATAAGAGCATCTGCTAAATGACTAAAATGTAAAGAGTTTAAATCCAATCCAGATGTAGTATGTTCACACTGCCAACAAGGGGCAGAGCTGCAGACATAAGACTGCAGCAGGACACCTAATTGTGAATGAGGAACCCATTGGTGGGTGGGTCCTGGCTGTTTCATCGTGGGCCATGTCTTAAGACTTTGTCCAGACTAGAAACACAAAAAAATTCAAAAAGCTTTAGAAGGATTACAAAGTCGAGGAGCCCTTCCAATAGGACACTTTCCTAACACATACTCATACGTAGGGGGATTTCAATCTAACCCATACTTGAATAAGGCTTTGTCTATCAATGAGAATCTGTAGACATCACTACACACTGCTCTATAAGTAGAGGCTACGCCATTTAGTTCAACATAAGCTCATCCGCATGTGCTACAATACCAATCAACTTGTGAATTTGAAAAACCTGGGAATGTTTCAAAGTTTTCACATCTTCATATTGAGAACAACAACACAACAATATGTAACCTTAATCAAAACACAACAATATGTAACCTAATCCAATGAATGTCCTGTGAAAATGAGCTTTAAAAACAAACTCAGAGGATTTGATCATGGAGTTCTGTTGTCTCAGTCCCAGTTATATAGACACTTCGCTCACTCAACTCACATTACACTAAATGGAATTACTCCGGGCTACACAGACGCCCTTTAAATACAGAATTGAACATACCTGAACTACGAATGTGAGGAAATAGTGTCATCTACTGGACAGAGGAAATAAGATGTCACTACCATCCCTTAATGAGATCACCAGCTGATCCTGTGAGTTACTACATTGAGCACAGAGGGAGATTGTCAGGGTTTCTTTAAAGCCAAGCATAAGATCAAAACTTCCAGAAAGCTGAGATCAAACTCAGATTAAGACTCTGATGCAGTCTGAATTCAGGAAACGGTTTAAGACATTTTGAACAACAAATCATCAAGATACATCAACACGTTATTGATTATTGACCACGTCCTGGCTGGCTATGAACCTCCTCAAAACCCCTTTTGAGCGGTTACAATTAAGCAAATAAGTATGATCTTTTTTCCAGATGAAACTCCCCCCCACCAGTCAGCATGTAGAGAGATTCCAGAGATCCCACCCACTCCCCCCGACCTCCCAGAGACTGAGTGGAAGTTGTAGAATGAGTAGAAAGGCCAAGAGAGACGTGTCCAAGAGAACAGTCCAGCAACATCACATGACCTCACAGCATGAGTTCTGCTTCCGTGCCTGTTGGATAGAAAACAAAGACAAAGTGACTGATTAGCAATATCAATTTCACACTGAGAAGGCTACCTATGTAATGGAAATGAGTCTTAATAAAGAGTTTTGATAAAGTGTTGCAAATGAAGTTGGGATAAAAGTAGCCCATGTTTAATCTAAGATGCTGTGATTATTTTAACTGGAGAGCTCAGTCCACAGTCACTACTCACAGTCTTATAAAAGGCTTTAGACTGGTTCCCCAGGTGTTCAGACTTCTGTACCAGATCATCCAGCTTCTCCCCTCTCTCCAACAGAGACTCCATGGTGTTATGCTGCAGAGACAATCACAGCACAGTCCACTTCATATACAGCATCCTACCAACCACAGGCACTAACAGTGTTTGACATGCAGTAGTGCAAGCTTCCTACACTGGGAAAATGTTATGAGCTTATCTAAAGTTTCCCCATTATGTGAGATGTTTTGGAGTTGTAAGGGAGCGTCGACTAAAGTGTCTCACCAAAATGATTTTTGTCTCGTCTATCTCAGCCTGCACTTTGGTCATCGCATCTGCATCTCTGGGGTTCTGAGGAAAAAAACACAAATTCTGTCAAACCTTCACAATCATCCAAGAAGAAACGTGAAAGATTCAAAGTAGGGTTGGTTATTCAAGTGTTCTTTTATTGATCTATTTTGTAATTGACTTGTACATACATGTGCAATGTATGTTATGTGTCTATTTTAGAGACAGGACGCCATGTGTACCTGGTATTTGGCCAGGTGGATGTCCAGGGCTTTGTAGTTGATGGTGTCTGGGTTTCCAGATGGCCAGTCTATACTGTCCACTTGCCTGGAAAACTCCTCTAGCACCTGCATGATCAAACATCAATCTATTACATTAAACATAAAGCCAAAAGGGCCTGGCAAGGAGCAATAACTTTGGAAGAAACCTTGACAGGAACAAGACCCAGGCCAGAGTAATATTCTTCACTTGTTGCTAAGGAGGTAATGCATCTCTCTGCAGTGTACCCACTTTGTCTAGTAGTGTGAAGGCGACTCTTTGGGGGTACTCGCTGTCTGCTATCACCACTGCACTCAGACTGTCATTCCTCACATACACATGGCACAGGTACCCTAGAGGGAGGAAAGGGTAGGAATTATAGGTGTGTCCTCACATAACAAATAAAAAAACTCCCATATGTTATAGCCCAATGTATCAGGGCTTAACCTTGTTCTTTGACTGAGGCTCGGCTGCCGTCTGCAGAACGCTCCACAATCAAGGCGCTGGTGAAGGTCATGAACTCTTGGACACTGCCAAAACCAAACACACAGACAATGGTGAAAACAGTGTTCTTCTTATGAAGTCTAAACCCATGACAGGTTTAAGATAAGCTATTATTATTGACAGGGGTGTCATCTTCGCCTTCATCTGCACTGATGTACAAGAACTGGACAGGTGAAGTATATGCCTAGTCGGAGTCCTTCGCACATTGCTTTCATAAATCCTGTCTTCAGATCAGTGTAGATGGAGGGAAGGAACCCCCTTTAGACTACTGAGATGCACCCCAGCCCAGGTGCCAAGAGGAAGACCCACCTGGAGCGCTGGAAGAAGCTGAAGGAGGAGAGGTCATAGGCGGATTTGAGGAGGTTGGATTTAGTCGCTCCTTTGTGGAGGACGCTGAGGCTGTACAGCTTCATGATGACGCAAAGACAGTCACAGGGTTATGATTGGCGTGTCCCAGCGCAGCAGCCTAAAATCAACAACTACTACAACCCCAAGGCAAAGAGGTCTCAATGCCTACCTGTCAAGAAAGGGACACAAATTCAAATCACATGAGCCAAGCCATCCGTCTAGCCACAGTCTGTAAGATAGCATACTGTCTACTACACACATATTCTATAATACAAACGATTGCTAAACTAGCTAACGCTACCACGATAGACTAACGTTAATCGACATGTAGATACCGTTTTCGACATATCTCTGTTTTGCTTGCTAGCTAACGTTAGCACAATTGTTGTTGTTAGCTAACCTATGTGCCAACACCGATGGCTCAAGTTCCCTTGTCGTGCTTACTTACCAGAGAAGACTGCACTAAACGGTTTGCTAACTGTTGAGAATAAAATACCAACTGAATTATTCCATAATAACTAGCTACAGATCGTTCACTATTGTTATCAGTATTATGGTCAGTTGGTTTCCTTTTAGCCACACCAACCACGTCACGATTAAAGCAATGTCCCACAGGATAATTGTTCCGGAATGCAACACGGCCTCATCATAATTCTGTGTACATTTCCTACTTCCAGATCGCTTGTGCTTGAGGTATGAAAAAAGTAAGCATAGGCCAAATAAAGCAAATGTTGTGTTGCGTGTAGGCTTACTGTCAGAACATTTTTTACGTATATTTGCTGAGCGGAAAAAATATAAAAAAAATAATGCAAATACATGGGACACAATGTATATTTTGTTTTTATAACTGATATATGCATAGGCCTAGTCTTCACAATTTCAGCCAGCAGCAGGTAGGCTATTCTTATTTCCTATATTATCTACAATCCCAGCCGCCCAACCCATTTTACAGATCTATTTGTGACTATATAACAAATAGTCAACTATAGGTACTGGCCTAAATGATGATGCCTAATGTTTTCACGTATTTATTTTTCTATAGGCCTATTGTAACGTGTCAACAACATAGGCGGCAGGGAGCCTCAAGATACAAAAAGTACTTTAATTTCTAAACGGTAAAACAGACATAAATGAAAATACCCTCAAATAAAATGTGACATTCTGTACTGTCGCCTCATATAAAACATTTGGGGCTCTATTTTGACAAACTTAATGCAATGGTAAATCTAAGCGCTGGTGGTAGAGCTATAAATCAGGGGGGTGTGTCTGAAATATTTGTACTATTTGTACAGACAGAATTAGGAGCGCAATAGCTGCCGGTGGCTCAATGGCCAATCAAGGTGTTCCATGGCTTAAAACTGCATGTGTTTGTCTCAAGTTCTGTAGGTTATTGACATTCTTTGCGTTGTCATCAACTCCAATTCACCTGGGGCACGGAATGATAGCAAAAACATATTTGGAGTGTTGACAGTCAACATTGTTGTAGGCCTAATTGGTTTCAACAGGCCTTTACACATCACACTTCTCCTCAAATAAAAAAATAGTAGGCTCCCGTAAATTGTATTGCATGTGTGAGGCATATTCTCATTCTTAAATAGACAGTGACCTATAGACCGGGTATAGGCTTTGCCATTTCCGATTTCTCATCACCCTCATTCGTTGTTTTCCTAAGTAATTTTGCTTCATTTAACAATTTCCTCCTGGCCACTTAACTCAGTGCTAAGTGTTTTCCATACTAGAAGTGTGCAGATAAATTATTGACTCCCAGGGCAGCGGATTGAAAATGTTGGGCATGGAGACAGTGAAAGAAAGCTATTGTGAGCATCTGTTGACGGGTTGGTTGTGGCAGGATGAGGGGTGTTTTTCCCCCCTTTAATAGGATCGTTTTGGTTGCCATAGATATTGAGAACAAATTGCCGTCTAGTTAATGAGATGTAGGCTGAGAGCTTTGGAGGTGAATGTGAGATTGTTTTCTCAAATGGAAAAGCAATACAACATTTATTTTGGATACACATTGAGGTTACTTGGATGGAGATTATTCGAATGTTACTGCTACATTTTTGGATCTGAGGATCATGGTGAGAAGGACTTGAATTCATCTGAGGTTGAATAGTTTGCTTTTGGCCAGTGCACTTCTGTTATTGATGGCCGCAGTGGATGCGTCATGAACTGCAAAAGCGCACGAATGAAGATTTTTTATTTATTTAGGACTAGCCTATACAGACTTTTCCAGGCATTTGAGTGAACACTTTGAACTGAAATAGTGTTTGTTTATTTATATTGGCCTATAGTGTGTATTATTTTACAGAATAACTAGCCTAACAGCAGACAAAATGTTGACCACTGAGGAACTGGTTGGACATAAATGATTTGGACACTTGTCAAACACGTTCAATAGGCCTGTATTCACAGATTAATTCTAAGTTTAATATTTATCTTCACGGTTTCTACGTTCTTTATGTAGCACCTTCAAGACAAACCGCTACTTTTTAACCTGCTCTTGTAGCCCAACTAGACAACACGCTTAAATTCCACAGCAGACAGCACCCATGACCGGCAGGACATGTATGATATGGATCCTCATACGATGGATAAGGTAAAAATATTGTGATAATCTTATCCATGTAATGGAAGATTCCCTGAAGGGCCCCTTTAAGTTGCCCTATTTAGAAAGTCTCAGAAATCTCACCTCATTCCAGGGCAAGGGAAAACCCTACTTTCTAGCAAACCGAGTTTTAGCAAAAGTCCATGAAAGCATGAAACAGTGTATCAGATAAGGTGAATATGAAAAATGAATTATTAGGCTATTTAGATTGACTTGCCTACAGCATTTAGCATTCTAAATGTGGCATTGTACAAGTAGTACTATTTTTGTTTTACTTTTGAGAGATGACTCGCCATATTTTGATTTTGAGAAGGTGGATGTGTTAGCTGAATGACTGTAGACAGTTTTCATGATGAAAAAGTGGGTGATTTAGTCTTATCTGAGGAGTGAGGCAGGTGGATGGAAGCCTCGCCCATCAGGCCATCGCCTCCATCAGGCTATCTCAGCAAACAGCACAGTAGGAGAGCTCTAACTGGGTTAAATTAGCCATCATAATCAGCTATGGAGAAGTACTTGGCACACATTCAAGTTCCATCCACAAAAAGACCTGACACAAATCAAACATGGATGGATTTGTCAAACAGCAGCATGCATGTGCCTGTGTGTGTGTGTGTTACAGTAACACCTATAGCATAATTGCCCAGGGTTATACAGGCAGGTAGAATTAAGGTAATCACCTCTTTTCTGACTTATGTTGCAGATGTGCATGTTGGGGGGGGGGAGCTATTAAATTGAACTTAACACACAATAAAACATATTCTTCATGTTTGAATTCATAATACAGTACAATGATTTATTACACAATATTATACTGATAAAGAATAAGGAATGTTTGAATGAACTCAATCTCTTATTATTGTGGAGACAGGCCGAGTCATATATCATCTGGACTTGTGCCAGCCTCCATGGAAGATCTTTGTTCAGGCAGCTTTGTTCATGCATGAACTACCAATTAACTTAGCTAATTCTGGTTTTTGTCTTTGAGATTCTTCCTGTAAGTGCTAGATAAATTAAAGCGCTATTTAAATTAAATCCATGATTAATCTCCTGATAAGGCGAGTTGTAGTTGACACAGTGTTCGTCAGCCTGTTGGTAAGGGTGACTGTTGCATTTACTCTGAAACCAGGAGATCAGGGCCATTCAGGAAAGGGTCACCACAGCTATTTCTGGAGCGTTTTTTGACACAGTACCATCGGTCATGTCTAAAATTAAACCTTTCTGGGTGATAAGCACAGGAGACCTTTGGCTACAACGCTTCATTATTGATTTTATCGGCCATTCAACTTTGCAGTGCGCTAAATTTAGATGCTTTGACATCTAATATTGATCTAGTTAAACAATGACTAAGACTTTGAATACAGCAATATTACACTCTTTATACCAGTGTCTGATCTGCCTCCCTAATGTGAAGATATCTTAGGACTGTAGGTACACATATACAGGTCTACTGTAAATCATGTGCTTGTGAGAGGCTTCTGTTGAATCCAATGAAATAGGTCACACCTTTGCCACGTTTTCTAAGCAAAGACAGTAATCTATGAATTTTCTATGTTAATGACCAAGGTCAAATGACCATGTTACCCATTCTACTAAACAGACAAACCTTCAAGTCAGGTCATTCATGCCATCACATGGATACAGAGTGGAAATTAACGAAGGCTACTGGTACTAGAAATTCTGTTGAATAGCAACGGTAATAGTTAGCTGTATGTCTTTTCAGAGGTTTTAGTTTAGATCAACTTTAACCCTATCTGATTAGGTTTCTTTTTTTTTTGCCTGCTTTTGGGTTTGTCATTACACATGTGAAAGATTTGGTCACTCCAATACTTTGCGGTTCAAATTGACCTGTGGTGATAATTCACATTCTATATTGTTGCAAGGTACAGTGCCTTCAGAAAGTATTCACACCCCTTGACTTTTTCCACATTTTGTTGTGTTACAAAGTGGGATTAAAATTGATTTAATTATTTTTTAAAAATAGTAAACGATCTACACAAAATACTCTGTAATGTCAAAGTGGAAGAACATTTTGAACATTTCTAAAAATAATGTGAAAAATAAAACACTAATATATCTTGATTAGATAAGTATTCAACCCCCTAAATCAATACATGTTAGAATCACTGTTGGCAGTGATTACAGCTGTGAGCCTTTTTGGTTAAGTCTCTAAGAGCTTTCCACACCTGTATTGTTCAACATTTGCCCATTATTCTTTTCAAAATTCTTCAAGCTCTGTCAAATTGGTTGTTGATAATTGCTAGACAACCATTTTCAGGTCTTGTCATAGATTTTCAAGCAGATTAATGTCAACTCTGTAACTAGGCTACGCAGGAACATTCACTGTCTTCTTGGTAAGGAAACTCCAGTGTAGATTTGTCCTTGTGTTTTAGGTTATTGTCCTGCTGAAAGGTGAATTCATCTCCCAGTGTCTGGTGGAAAGAAGACTGAATCAGGTTTTCCTCTAGGATTTTCCCTGTGCTTAGCTCCATTCTGTTGATTTTTTATCCTGAAAAACTACCAAGTCCTTAACGATTACAAGCATACCCATAACATGATACATCCACCACTATACTTGAAAATATGGAAAGTGGTACTCAGTAATGTGTTGTATTGGATTTGCCCCAAACATAACACTTTGCAGTATTACTAGGGTCATATTGTCTTACATATCGTAGATATCATCTGACCACATGTCCTTGGCCAGATGGGATGAAGGGTTAGGGGGTGGGCCTTTGTGTGGGCCGCCATCTTCTCCGGCCAGCCCACTTTACCAGAGCATAAAAACAGCTGAGGTCCTCATTCAACTGCATTTACAGTTCACTGACTCTGCATACACACACACACACACACACTCATGCCAGACACACACTCACCACACACCACTACACACGGCAAGTGATTTAGAAAGCTAGACAAGATGCTGTGCATCAACTCCTACACGGGCCAGATGGGGACGATGCCTTGTATCCTTAGCACTGTGCTAGAGACAGTCCTCATGGTAAGATACACATTTCTGAAGAGTTTAGGTCCGAATTTCTGAATAGTCTAGTTTTGGTCTCCAGTCTAGGTCTGAACCTCTGAATAATCTTGTTTGGGTTGGGTTACTTGAGTTGATTTGTACATTATTGCCTTAATAATGTTTATAATTGGACTTTCTACTCTGCATGAATGTTGTCTGAATTAACTCAAGTCTTCACACACATACTGCTCCATGTTGTTTGAGAGGAAGTTATGGGTGAGAAGCTTTGTCAGATGTTTAGTTTACTACTTTGTCCTATTTGTGAAATACCTGGATGAAACTGTATCTTCGTGGTGAAATGTAATTCAGAGCAACCATAACACCATCTCTTTCAATTTATTAAATTTTTTTTATTTGATTTCAATGTTTCTGTTTCCACAGATGACATTTTAGATGAATAAAAATAGAGAGAGAAAGGGCTGAAGTTAAACATTAAATAGATCTTCATTATCCTTACCCTTACTGTCATTTTTTCACACTTTACTTTACTGTGCTTTGAGTTCTGTACTCTATTTATGACGTGCGTATGTAAAGTGTCCTTGGACTTGAGAAATGCCACACCTTAAGTTCCCTTGGGGAAATAATGTTATTCTATTCTATTCTAAAGGTATTCCATGACTGAATAGTATGATGGTTATTTGTGGGGGCTTGCTGTGACCCTGTTCGTCCTTTCCTCCCCAGGTGGAGCAGATCCTGTCGGAGTTCAGGCTGAAGAAGGAGCAGTTGAAGGAGGTAATGAAGAGGATGATGAGGGAGATGGACCGGGGACTGCGCGTAGAGACGCACCAGGAGGCCAGTGTCAAAATGCTGCCCACCTACGTCTGTTCTACCCCTGAGGGATCAGGTAGAGGCATATACCTCATTTATTCAATGCTTTCTTGTGAAATAACAATGTAAATGCATGATAACTAGGCTATTTGTACTAAATGGGAATTAATGAGAGTGATGGCACATGAACGAACATTACATTTCTTATTAGATTTATTTTATATTCAATTTGTAGTGCCTTAAAAAAAATAAGATATGCCACAATGAGATAGAAAAATATTATTATTCCAGAAACCCCTGCTGTGTGTGTGTGTGTGTGTGATCTTATATGACACCCTTCTGTGTGTTGCGCTTTGTCAGAGGTTGGTGATTTCCTGGCCCTGGACCTGGGGGGGACTAACTTCCGTGTGATGTTGGTGAAGGTGGGGGAGGATGAGGAGAGGGGATGGAAGGTGGAGACCAAACACCAGATGTACTCCATCCCAGAGGACGCCATGACAGGCACGGCTGAGATGGTGAGAGTGCAGTGTACTTAGAAGGGTTCACTCAGAACTGCACTGTGTTGACTAGTGTAATCAGTGTCTCCCATAAATCATCATGCCTCACCATCCTCTCTCTCCCTTTCTCCTTTTCCCTCCATCCCCTCTCTTCTCAGCTCTTTGACTACATTGCAGAGTGTATATCAGACTTCCTGAACAGACAACACATCAAGCACAAGAAGCTTCCTCTGGGTTTCACATTCTCCTTTCCTGTACGACACGAGAACATAGACAAGGTTTGAGATGGACTAAGTACAAGACCTGCCCAGTGTTAGAGACTTCAGATTAGAGATTTGACCTGCGAGTGACTATCTGAGTATCTGAGTTAGTGTCTGAGCCCTGCTACCAACCCTAACCCTCTGTGTTCCTCCCAGGGCATCCTACTGAACTGGACCAAAGGGTTCAAGGCGTCTGGAGCAGAGGGTAACAACGTGGTGGGACTACTGAGAGATGCCATCAAGAGGAGAGGGGTAGGATTGTCACTTCAGGATTAGTATTCTATGTTTCTGATACATAGAATAATATATATGTTGTGATAGATATGCTATGATACATTTGTAAAACATGCGTAGGAGATTCATGCAAATAGAGCCGTACTGAAATGTTCCTTTACTCTTCAGGACTTTGAGATGGACGTTGTTGCCATGGTGAACGATACAGTTGCTACCATGATATCCTGTTACTATGAGGACCGCAGCTGTGAAGTGGGAATGATTGTGGGTAAGGACGCACACACACGCACACACACATCCACTTATCTCCTGTTACCTACCATCTCTCTACCTCTCTTTAAAGCCAACTATGTTGGTATTTGTCTGTAATACGACACACAAATCAAATGTAATATGACCATTGTCCTGTCCCCAGGTACTGGGTGTAACGCTTGTTACATGGAGGAGATGCGGACAGTGGAGCTGGTGGAGGGGGAAGAGGGGAGGATGTGTGTGAACACAGAGTGGGGGGCCTTCGGAGCCAACGGAGAGCTGGAGGAGTTTAGACTGGAGTACGACAGGGTGGTGGATGAGACATCACTCAACCCTGGACAACAACTGTGAGTTCTGGGCCTTACTCTGTCTATCTCAGCACAATGACCTAATTAGGGCTTCCTAAGTTTAGGGGGTGTTACATTCTCCACTGGTGATAAAACTCACATGACTGTAAGTCGCTTTGGATAAAAGCGTCTGCTAAATGGCATATTATTATTATTATTATTATTATCGTTCTATTTGTGGTAGTACCTAGTTTCTCTTGTGCAGTATTGGCTGCATGTGTATCCAGACATGTATAAATGTGTCCATTCTTAGAAGCTCAAAGTATGTGAGAGTCTGGAGAGTTTCTGAAAGAGCTGTACTTTCTATGACACAATGCACATTACATTTTAGTCATTTAGCAGATGCTCTTATCCAGAGCGACCTACAGTTAGTGAGTGCATACATTTTCATACTGGCCCCCCGTGGGAAACAAACCCACAACCTTGGCGTTGCAAGCGCCATGCTCTACCAACTGAGCTATATGCAGCCTGAGGATGAGCACAGGTGGAAACGTGCCTCTCTCTCTCTCTCTCTCTCTCTCTCTCTCTCTCTCTCTCTCTCTCTCTCTCTCTCTCTCTCTCTCTCTCTCTCTCTCTCTCTCTCTCTCTCGTTCTCTCTCTCACCTGTCTACCACACTGAGGATGAGCACAGGTGGAAACGTGCCTCTCTCTCTCTCTCTCTCTCTCTCTCTCTCTCTCTCTCTCTCTCTCTCTCTCTCTCTCTCTCTCTCTCTCGTTCTCTCTCTCACCTGTCTACGACACTCACCTGACACTAACCTGCAGCCTATATGTGGTCACTAGGTAACTCCCTTGTTTTCCAAGCCGTGGCTAGTGGCATCCCAGTCTCTATACACCAGGGTCAGATTAATGAGCTCCTGTCCAGCGCTAGCTAATGTCAGCCAGGCTAATGGCTGTTTACCGTCTGCTCTGACAGCCCCTTCACACAGGCAACCGCTGAGCTGAGCCTCACTCACCCTAGCACTTTATCTCTCTCTCCGCTCCACAGCGACAGCGAGACGGAGAGATTGCTCTCCTGCTTTTCAATCTCTCTCTTTCTTGTTTCTCCCCGGCCTAGCTGGGAAATGATGATGATAGGGATGTCGTTTCACGTGTTGTGTGACGCATAACTCTTTTTCTCTCTTTCTCCATCCACATGCTCTGCCCCGCTGCCTCCCTCAACTCTCCCTTCTCCCTCCCTCTCTCTACCTTCCTCTCCCCCCTCCCCTCCATCGCTCTGTAGCTATGAGAAGTTGATCAGTGGGAAGTACATGGGAGAGCTGGTGAGGCTGGTATTGTTGAAGCTGGTGAACGAGGAGCTGCTGTTTAACGGAGAGGCCTCTGACCTACTGAAGACTCGTGGCAGCTTTGAGACACGCTACGTCTCCCAGATAGAGAGGTGAGGGGTCATAACACAACAATGAAATTAGAATTACAACTGCCAACACTATTACAATGACATCAACACAGTTACAACTCTTTGTGTCAGTGACTGTCTTCTGTCCGAGACAGTAAAGCTTCCCTCAGTAAGTCTTAAGTGTGTGTTCTCTCCCTGTGTGTTCCTCAGTGACTCTGGAGACAGGAAGCAGATCTACAACATCCTGTCTACACTGGGCGTGTTGCCGTCGGAGCTGGACTGTGACATAGTGCGTCTAGCTTGTGAGAGCGTGTCCACGCGGGCAGCACACATGTGTGGGGCAGGGTTAGCCGGTGTCATCAACCGCATGAGAGAACGCCGCAGCCAGGAGGTGCTGAAGATCACTGTGGGCATCGACGGCTCCGTCTACAAACTCCACCCCTGGTGAGGAGGGGGGAGGAGTCACCAAGTCTATAACATACAAATAATGTTAGTCATATCTAGTGACAATGTCATGCTTTTTATTCTAACCCTGATATTAATCTCCCTCCACAGTTTCCAGGACAGGTTCCACAAAGTTGTACGGGAGCTGACGCCTCACTGTGACATCACCTTCATCCAATCAGAAGAAGGGAGTGGCCGGGGGGCGGCACTTATCTCGGCAGTAGCCTGTAAGATGGCAGCGTGCATGCTGACACCGTGAGAGTCTTAACAGCCTCCCAGCTCTGGCCTCCTCTTGAAGCTTTCACAGAGTAAAGCCTCACTCCTCATTGGTGAGAGATATGTGTGTGAATAACTCACTGTACATAAAAAGAACCCCACCACACAGCACACACAACATAGAAAACACAGAGACAGATTAAATCAGTACTTTTCCCTGTGAACAGTATTATACAGATGTGTTTTTGAACCGATGAGCCTCTGTAAATTCGCTGCAGTCCCACAATGCATAGGTGGTATGTCACAGCAAGTCCTGAACCCTTGTTTAAACATGTTCTTAAGCTTCCACTGATTGCAGGTGTTTGAAGCTTGATTAATACTGTAATATAATGTTCATGTGAAAAGGATTGGCATTGATTTATAACGTCAGTGTGTTTTTTTGTTTGATGCTGTCTGTTTAATCCAGAGATGCTACCGTATATAACTTAAAACTAAAGGATTGTCCGTTACAGATGTATTGCAGTGTAGTCTTTCACTTACTGTTCGTGGGAAATTAAGTATTTATTTGGTAGTGTATTTATAAAAGCTATGTATCTGTGATGAGCGTAAAGGTCTTAATTCCTAATATGTATATCTAAGAACGAGAATGTGCTTCGTAATGTGATTTTTTTGTTGTTGTAAATAAAGTTGCTGAAACATAAAAAGATTGAATGTATTTTTTGTGTGTCTATCATCCTTTGAAAAGGAAGGGGCCAAATTTACATTTACGTCATTTAGCAGACGCTCTTATCCAGAGCGACTTACAGTTAGTGCATACATTATTCTATTTAATTTTTTATTTTCGCGTTGCAAACGCCATGCTCTACCAACTGAGCTACCTCCATGCCGGCCATTCCCTCCCCTACCCTGGACGACGCTGGGCCAATTGTGCGCCGCCCCAAATAATAGAAGTGGCTTTGCTGTACGTGACCACATGCTCTGCTGTCATAACGAACTGTCAAGTCTCTGTTTCTGTTCAGTAAAATGAATAACGCACACAACGTTTCCACCAAATGCAACTAAATAGAACTGTAAACTACAGCCATACTCATGGGTAACAGGTTATCTCAGGGGAGATTTTATTGACTACTCACATTGCGTCACATAATAGCCACAATCATCTATATTCCACTTCCTATCTTGCCATATCCCACTGTCTTTTCTCTCACACTATCTCTGCAAATCCACCTCCCCCTCTGTCTCTCTCTCCCTTCTCGTCTCTCAACCTATCACCTCTCCTCCCCCTGCTCTCTCTCCCTATCTCCTTTTTCCACCCCCAGTGGAATTCTGGTCCTTGGGTCCTTATCGTGTCCACATAGAGAGAGAGAGAGAGAGAGAGAGAGAGAGGCACGTTTCCACCTGTGTCGATGGCCATGTAAGGGACTGTGGTACACACCGCAGGCCTATTATAGGAGGGCAGAAGATAACATGAGCCATACATAAACCCTCCCCAGCATCACACCTAGTCCTGGGTACAGAGAGCTACTATACCACACACAGACATGGTGAGTACTAGAACAATGACTCAATATTATACATCATTTGCCATCTGACTTTACTCATAAGCAAAACCTTTTGTAACGTTTATCTGGAATTTAGTTCATTGTTATGAGGAAATATTAGGGTCGTTCCACGAAAGAGTGCCTTTTGCGTCCCTTTGATATTTTAAGTAGAAATTGTGCACCAATATTGAATTTTAAAAGCCTATTATATTAAATGAAGTGCCCTTTAATATAGACCACATTGAGAAATCAATACATCTGATTGTTTATAAAAAATAATTTGTTAAAGTGCCAAAATTAGTTGTACCTGTCCCTCCGTCAACCCTGTGTCAGTTCTAGGAGGATTTATCCAAGTTTCACCATCATTGCAAAGCCCTAGCTATTGCTTGTTGCTTTGACAAAGTCATTTCTGAGGATTGTTATTTATTTCATGTGATTAATGATTCATTGAAGTCTGTCCCTCATTTTAAGTTCAACCCTGTTAGGTGAACTTTACTCTTGTTTTAATATATTGAAACTATTCCTTTTTAAATCTTTTTTTTATTTTTATGAAACATTAGACATCTAATAGTTATAGAGCTGGTTGTACTATTTGCAGAATGTTTTGGGTGTTTTGTGGTGGAACAATGAGCGGGTGGCACACAAGAGTCAACCCTGTTACCCATAGATAGGCTAGAAATGTTTTAACAATTTAATTGTTAAAACATGCATTCAAGCTTGCATTCAATTGCCACAACAAGCTTCCATTCCCCCTGTCACAATCCAATCGTCAACCCTGTTACTTTATTTGCCACTTAATAGGCACTTACTGTAGTCCTTTTTTTATTTAACCTCTTGAGATGGGAAAATATGTTTTTTTATGAAGTTGTACTCTTTATGACAGAATGTTAAAATTAGGTGAAATAATTGTATTTAAACAATTTTAAAAATACTAACGACCCTAGAATGTTTTTTGACTATGTAGAGAGTAAGCCTAGTGTTAGGTTTCAAATTGTAACTAAAAGGTACAACTTCAACAGAGTCAAAAACCCATTTATAGTATGTGTCCTACTATTTTAATTAGAAATGAGAAATTACAAAGTCCTTAGAAAGTCATTTGTGCTTATTTAAATGGAAATCATACTAACTTTGGATGACCTTGGTCACGTAAACCTGGATGTTTTACTGTAAAAAGATGTAAAATGTATGTGACATGTGTGACCTTATTTCTCCTTTTCATTCTTTCACATAGAATACATGGTTTTCATTGTTACATGTTGATGTATATATATTTTTTTATTCCCTCTCTGCTTTCATTCGTTTACAACAGGTGACAGTAAAATGATCATGTGTAACCTCTTGTCTATTTTTCTGGTTTCTCAGGCCAGTAAGAAGGCTGCTAATAAGAGACAGAGGGGAGCCCAGAAGAGCTGTTCCAATGTCTTCTCCATGTTCGAACAGTCCCAGATACAGGAGTTCAAGGAGGTATGTAGCTACAGTACACTTACACTGTCTACTTAATAAAAGTGCCATTTTGGTGCAGTTTGGATGGCTGGTCCATAGACATTAGACATCAGAGGAAACGACTCTAAATATAAGACATAAAAACATTTGGATAATCATTATTTATTTTATGATGAAGGTAAAATTCTGGGAGGAAAATCTATTAACAACGGATGTACTGTGTTTATTTCCAGGCTTTCGGTTGTATTGACCAAGACAGAGATGGTGTAATCAAAAAACAGGACCTGAGAGAAACCTATGGACAGCTAGGTATTCTGATAGTCTCTCTTTAAAAATGTGTGTGTGTGTATGCGCGTGTGTATGTTGATTTATGTTTTTGTGTACCAGGGAAGCTGAACGTTAAAGATGAGGAACTGGATGAGATGTTGAACGAGGGGAAGGGTCCCATCAACTTCACTGTGTTCCTCACTCTATTTGGAGAGAAACTCAACGGTGAGACCCCATCCCTCTACTTCTCCACCCCTTCTGCTGTATGCGTCTTTTGTTTGTTCATGTTGACTGAACTGTAACCCTCCCCCTACAGGCACAGACCCTGAGGACACCATCCTCGCTGCCTTCAAGCTTTTTGACCCAAACAGCACAGGCTTCGTCCACAAGGATGAGTCAGTATCATTTGAACCTACACAGATTGCCAAAATTTGCAATGACACATAATGTGGACAATTAATTATTAATTAGTTATGTATTCTTTAAAGGTTTAAACGATTACTGATGAACCAGGCTGATAAATTCACAGCAGAGGAGGTTGGTATTGTTTTATTCCTTCTAACCTATTTTTTTTCTTTAAAATAATAAATAAACAAATCACACATTTGACAAAATACTAGAGCGAGAGATAAACCATTCTATCAGCAGTTCTACATAGACAGTAGGCCTATGGTCAATATTTATGCACATTGTTGCCTAATCACTCTCTGTCTTCTGATGAAATCCTCAGGTGGACCAGGCGTTCTCTGTGGCTCCAATTGACGTGGCCGGCAACATCGACTACAAGTCGCTGTGTTACATCATCACACACGGAGACGAGAAGGAGGAGTCCTAAAGACCCTCAGCAAAAAACCCTGACCCAACCCATAACCCCTGATAGAGCAGAACTGGAATCTCCTCTGTGGTTGTCTTTTGCCAATCCAGTAAAGTAATCAAATCAACACCTGTCTGTAAAAAGTTTACATTTGTTTGTAGTTACGTTTAGATACAGTACAGTTACAATTTGTGTTATCTCACAGTTGAATAAAAGCGTTGTCATCTTTATAGTCATACAAACTCTTGTTTCTGACAGCTGATGTCCATACTGGGACCAGAACACTCACACACTACACCTAACCACTACAAAACATGTTCAAGTCAACCTAATTAATCCCCCACATCCATCTCCCCCCTCAAACACTGCAAGATTTAGATTAATGCAGCCATTTTTATATCAATATCAAATCATTTCTGGGACACAATTAGGTACCTTACTGTGATTGTTTTCAATTAAAATGGTCAAAAATAAACAAAAATAGTTTCTTAGCAAGAGTAATTTCTCAAGCAAGAATTTTGCTAGGACTGTCTGGGAGTGGTCTGAGTGGGGAGGGGAAAACTGAAAACTAGCTGTTTTTTTTTACTCTCTTTCTTATTGGTCTGTTAACTAATTTACCAGGCAGGCCAAAATGCCATCCCACCAAAACAGGCTGTAATTTCAGGCTCTTACACTAAAAGAGATATATCATCATTTTCACAATTTCACAGTATTATTCCAACCTCATAGTGTGGAAATGTATATCAAACACTGGAAAATCCTATTTATAACTGCTTTAATACCCCAAATGTGATTTGTTAGGTGCATTCAGGAGAAAGGGCCACACTGCAATGAGTCTGTGTAGTTCCAGTCAGAGCCATGTATTTAGAATACAATTCTAAATATATGGCTCTGTTTCCAGTCATTTAGGCCTTGGTTGCCGTGGATACAACAACAAACCCTTTTGTAAACTCCACTGCCAAACAGCCACCACATCTACTGGTCAAACAGAGCTGGACAGCCAAGATTAACCCACATTTGTAAGCAAGGCTGGGGATACAAGCTACCCCTTCTAAGTCCCTACTGTTAGGTGTTTATAAGATTTTGTGTTTTTTGCCGTGTGAGATGTAGTTGTTGTAGACGAAGCAGAGATGCCTATATCTTCTGGAGCTGAGGGTAGAGTAGATGTGGGGATAGATACATCCATAGCATGGACGCCAGATGGGGTGAAAAAAGAGGCAAAACTGGTCAAGAACTGTGATTCCTATCTAAGAAGGTGGGTGGATTGATCTTTACTCTGTGTTGAATTAAAGTGACATCTTGGTTAAAACATTATTTTGCATCCTCATCAAACACAACATAATGTATTCATGTCCATATGTCTGCTACAATGGTCAATTAACATTTGAACAAAAGTAAAACAATGTAATACAATGTTTTAGGTTATTTTAATAACTTTGCTGTTATCATTTGAAGGAATTGTTTTGCTGGTCATTAAAAGCTGTTTTAGTGCTGCCTCTCCCTGTCCATCCAATAGTACCCTCTCTTTCATTGGAACTATGCTGGAGGACATAGGGATGTCAGGCACTAAACAGGCTCATTGTTTCAACTGGTCAAGCTCTTTCCTCAGACAATGGTAGAATGTCTCTTGCACATAAAGTTTGTTTTCAATTTGTGCACCTTGGTTGGACTGCAAGGTAGCTACTGTACACTTACTCTGTATCTGTAATACGATGAATTTAGTGAGTCTGCTATGCTCTGATATTAACAGGTATCTGGAAAGCCAGGCAGGGAAGAAAAAACACAATAGCACCATTTTGGGGGTACGTGTCGTCAGTGTTATAATAACAGGCCAATTAAACAATTAGAGTTGAAGTCGAATGTTTACATACACCTTAGCCAAATACATTTAAACTCAGTTTTTCACAATTCCTGACATTTAATCCTAGTAAAGATTCCCTGTTTTAGGTCAGTTAGGATCAGCACTTTATTTTAAGAATGTGAAATGTCGGAATAATAGTAGAGAGAATGATTTATTTCAGCTTTTATTTCTTTCATCACATTCCCAGTGGGTCAGAAGTTTACATACACTCAATTAGTATTTGGTAGCATTGCCTTTAAATTGTTTAACTTGAGTCAAACGTTTCGGGTAGCCTTCCACAAGCTTCCCACAATAAATTGGGTGAATTTTGGCCCATTCCTCCTGACAGAGCTGGTGTAACTGAGTCAGGTTTGTAGGCCTCCTTGCTCGCACACGCTTTTTCAGTTCTGCCCACAAATGTTCTATGGGATTGAGGTCCGGGCTTTTTGATGGCAACTCCAATACCTTGACGTTGTTGTCCTTAAGCCATTTTGCCACAACTTTGGAAGTACAGTCGTGGTCAAAAGTTTTGAGAATGACACAAGTATTGGTCTTCACAAAGTTTGCTGCTTCAGTGTTATGAGATATTTTTGTCAGATGTTACTATGATATACTGAAGTATAATTACAAGCATTCCATAAGTGTCAAAGGCTTTTATTGACAATTACATTAAGTTTATGCAAAGAGTCAATATTTGCAGTATTGACCCTTCTTTTTCAAGACCTCAGCAATCCGCCCTGGCATGCTGTCAATTAACGTCTGGGCCACATCCTGACTGATGGCAGCCCATTCTTGCATAATCAATGCTTGGAGTTTGTCCGAAATTGTGGGTTTTTGTTTGTCCACCCGCCTCTTGAGGATCGACCACAAATTCTCAATGGGATTAAGGTCTGGGGAGTTTCCTGGCCATGGACCCAAAATGTCGATGTTTTGTTCCCCGAGCCACTTTTGCCTTATGGCAAGGTGCTCCATCATGCTGGAAAAGGCATTGGTCGTCACCAAACTGTTCTTGGATGGTTGGGAGAAGTTGCTCTCAAGGATGTGTTGGTACCATTCTTTATTCATGGCTGTGTTCTTAGGCAAAATTGTGAGTGAGCCCACTCCCTTGGCTGAGAAGCAACCCCACACATGAATGGTCTCAGGATGCTTTACTGTTGGCATGACACAGGACTGATGGTAGCGCTCACCTTGTCTTCTCCGGACAAGCATTTTTCCGGATGCCCCAAACAATCGGAAAGGGGATTCATCAGAGAAAATGACTTTACCCCAGTCCTCAGCAGTCCAATCCCTGTACCTTTTGCAGAATATCAGTCTGTCCCTGATGTTTTTCCTGGAGAGGAGTGGCTTCTTTGCTGCCCTTCTTGACATCAGGCCATCCTCCAAAAGTATTTGGCTCACTGTGCGTGCAGATGCACTCACACCTGCCTGCTGCCATTCCTGAGCAAGCTCTGCACTGGTGGTGCCCCGATCCCGCAGCTGAATCAACTTTAGGAGACGGTCCTGGCGCTTGCTGGACTTTCTTGGGCGCCCTGACGCCTTCTTCACAACAGTTGAACCTCTCTCCTTGAAGTTCTTGATGATCCGATACATGGTTGATTTAGGTGCAATCATACTAGCATACATGCCTGTAGAGTCCTTTTTGTGCAAAGCAATGATGACGGCACGTGTTTCCTTACAGGTAACCATGGTTAACAGAGGAAGAACAATGATTTCAACCACCACCCTCCTTTTAAAGCTTCCAGTCTTTTATTCTAACTCAATCAGCATGACAGAGTGATCTCCAGCCACTCTCACCTGTGTTAACGAGAGAATCACTGACATGATGGCAGCTGGTCCTTTTGTGGCAGGGCTGAAATGCAGTGGAAGTGATTTTTTGGGATTAAGTTCATTTTCATGGCAAAGAGGGACTTTGTAATTAATTGCAATTCATCTGATCACTTTTCATGACATTCTGGAGTATATGCAAATTGCCATCATAAAAACAAAATGTTTGACCACGACTGTATGCTTGGGGTCATTGTCCATTTGGAAGACCCATTTGCGACCAAGCTTTAACTTCCTGACTGATGTCTTGAGATGTTGCTTCAATATATCCACATAATTTTCCTTCCTCATGATGCCATCTATTTTGTGAAGTGCACCAGTCCCTCCTGCAGCAAAGCACCCCCACAGCATGATGCTGCCACCCCAGCGCTTCACGTTTGGGATGGTGTTCTTCGGCTTGCAAGCCATTCCCCTTTTTCCTCCAAACATAACGATGGTCATTATGGCCAAACAGTTCTATTTTTGTTTCATCAGACCAGAGGACATTTCTCCAAAAGTACGATCTTTGTCCCCATGTGCAGTTGCAAACCGTAGTCTGGCTTTTTTATGGCCATTTAGTGAGCAGTGGCTTCTTCCTTGCTGAGCGGCCTTTCAGGTTATGTCGATATAGGACTCGTTTTACTGTGGATATAGATACTTTTGTACCTGTTTCCTCCAGCATCTTCACAAGGTCCTTTGCTGTTGTTCTGGGATTGATTTGCACTTTTCGCACCAAAGTACGTTAATCTCTAGGAGACAGAACGTGTCTCCTTCCTGAGCGGTATGACGGCTGCGTGGTCCCATGGTGTTTATACTTACGTACTATTGTTTGTACAGATGAACATGGTACCGTCAGGCGTTTGGAAATTGCTCCTAAGGATGAACCAGACTTGTGGAGGTCTACAATTGGTTTTCTGAGGTCTTGGCTGATTTCTTTAGATTTTCCCATGATGTCAAGCAAAGAGGCACTGAGTTTGAAGGTAGGCCTTGAAATCCATCCACAGGTACACCTCCAATTGACTCAAAATATGTCAATTAGCCTATCAGAAGCTTCTAAAGCCATGACATCATTTTCTGGAATTTTCCAAGCTGTTTAAAGGCACAGTCAACTTAGTGTATGTAAACGTCTGACCCACTGGAATTGTGATACAGTCAATTATAAGTGAAATAATCTGTCTGTAAACAATTGTTGGAAAAATTACTTGTGTCATGCACAAAATAGATGTCCTAACCGACTTGCCAAAACTATAGTTTGTTAACAAGATATTTGTGGTTGAAAAACAAGTTTTAATGACTCCAACCTAAGTGTATGTAAACTTCCGACTTCAACTGTACATGAATTGATACAATAAATCAACACGTTAGATGTTGTTCTGTCTTTTCACATAGTTAAATAAAGTTTGCTTAATCTAAAAACAGGATGCCAGTCAACATCTTGCTGGTCCAGATGGAGAAAACATGGACACTTTCTCACCCGGTACGTTATTAAGGAAGAGGGATTTTTTTGCACCTTATATGCTAGTGTTAAGATACGTTTTACCAAAATATGACTTAATTGGCTTAACTCTTCCAGGTGTGAGCATAGATCCTAACACACAACAGAAGAAGGGAACCAGTGATGAAGGCAAAACCTCAGGAAAACAAACCAACGAAAAGAGCTCGAAGAAATCCCAAACATGTACACTTCTGTAGAGACACAACACTACGAATGGACTGCACACTTGTTGCTTTGATGCCCAACACCATATTGCATTACTTAGTGCCATATAATCCCATTGTATTGAGTCTTTATGATCACCCCAAGTTCTCTTCCTTGCCTGTTACTGTGATGAATCATAGAAATGGGGAGAGGGAGAATATATTTGATTTGAGAATGACTGTAACTGCAATCTATGCCTATCACTTTGCCTATTGAACAATTGCCTACTGTTATTAATTGTACTGTTTGGCTCCCTTTCATAACCTATGTTGAATAATGTCACAGTACTGTATGTAAAACACTTCAAAGCATCAATTGACAGTGTTTTTCCTGATTCTGACTATCTTGCTCTGGTAGCTTAGCTTGTTAATGAACATCACAAAAAAGAGAGAACAGCTGTAGGCTAATGTTTATTTCCAAACGATTAGCAGCAATGACTGATCGACAGGATTGATTAACTGGCTCTGAATGTACAGCAGCTCATAACTACAGACAGTCATGGCATACGCATAACACTTTCTGACATTTAGAACTTTGCGATCAAACAACAAAAAGGCTACAGTCACAATTGTACTATTCACAAGGTTATCCATTTATTGTAATGCCTTAACACAGGATTTTATAGTCATTTTCCAGCAGAGAATTAGAACAGTGTTTCATAGCAGCACAAGAAAGAGCTATTCAAATCCAAAACGGATGCTATTGGACCTGCCACCTCATCTCATTTACAGTTCCACTGCACTTGTGTCATCACAGTACACGAGAGTCCTTCCTCTTGTAATGCCATTGGCTTATCAGTTATCATCCTCTACAGACACAAACACACTCTCAATGTTACATCACTGAATGGTTCTTTCACACGATGGCAGTCTAGTCCGTGGTTGTCAGTAGTAGTCAGTAGTGGAGTATTCAGGCAGTGATGGCCAGCTCCTGTCCAAACTCCCTGATAAGAGCTTTTGGATGGGCCTATGTCCCCTTCTATACACTGTGAATGTGAAAGCAAAATATGTTTTGACACTGCGTGATCATTGGAGAAACCGAAATGTGATGTGACCACTGCCAAAGTAAAACTCTCGTCTCCAGCGGTCGCGATGTAGGTTGCTAGAGAATGAGCGGTCCTTTTCATACGGTAGAGGAGGGTGTCAGTCGCCGTTACTGCTGCGGTCCTCCTCACCCCCCACCACCATGCTGCTGTATTTCTTCTGCTGCGCTTCTTTATACGTGTCCTTCACCTTTGCCCTCTTTAGGCCTCCGTCCCTACAGGAGAACAAACGTGTTGCCTAGGAGATACTAACACAAATAATCTGTGTGCAAGAGATACTGCAATTGTGTGTCCATGCTGAGGTCTAAGAGATGCATAGCAGAAGTCCAGTATGAGACAGACAGGATGCCATTCATAGTAAGATGGGGGGAGATACTTACCAGGACAGGTCCACTAGTCCCCCCTGATGTGCGATGACAGACTTGACTCGGTTGGCAAACTGGACAGCATCCTCCCCTTCCTGAAAACATGAAATAAGTCAGTGGCACTTAGTGCATAACTGGCAGGTACTGTGTAAGTGTGCGTGTGTGTGTTGTTGTATACACACCTGTTGGTGCATGGCTGGCAGGTACCAGACATTACAGACTATAGCCCAGCTAGTCATCATCCTGAGCAGGTAGCTCACCATGTTGTACTTGGCGCTGTTCCAGAATGCATCCCCAAACTGAGGGTCATACTGAGGGAGGGAGATGGTCCCACAGTTGACAGAAAACCTCTTCAAATCTGTGCTGACTTTCTCGTGCAACTTTTCCAATGTCATCTTTGCATGATTTAGGGAGAAATCAAACACTGAACAGAAGTCCCTTACCTTTATAGCTACTGGGTATATTGTTCCTCCGATTTCAAAACTTCCCTTTTTGAACATCATGACAGATGTGTTGTTGATACAGGTCCCTGAGGAAACCAGAAATATGGACTGGAGATAAGCCACAACCAGAACAACCAGAGACATATAAAGATCTCTATGATAACAACAACGCTCTCCAAAATGACAGATAAGGGAGATAAATGCATTCTAGCAGATGCTACTCATATGTACAGGTATAGGATGACCTTACTCTACCTGGGTTCGTTTCCCACGGGGGGCCAGTATGAAAATGTATGCACTCACTAACTGTAAGTCGCTCTGGATAAGAGCGTCTGCTAAATGACTAAAATGTAAATGTAAAATGTAACCAATGCAACACCAATGCAGCTTATCCGAACCAATGCTAAACAGACATTGGCTTAGATCAGTGTCTAAAGGACTTCACCCTACTCCATTGTAGCACTTACCTTCTGGAAAGATCAATATAGGAAGCTTTGTCTTGTCATTCACGTGATCTCTCAACCTGTAAACATTAAGAACAGTTAGAAAACCTAACTTTATATCTGGGAGGAGTGTGAACATAGCTTTAACTAGAACCATATAATGTATGTCCATATCAGGATATCTTAGTATTAAATTATATCCCCAGTTAAATGGCAATGACATTTATGCTTGAATGTGCTAGAGTTGGGGATTTTGACAAGCACCTACATAACATACGTCATCTGTCTGGCACGAGTATATTATCTGGATAAGGAAATATGATAAGATAAGTGAATACCTATGATAAAACATTGTATTTTGATGTGTATTGTTGTGCTAAACAGGGCTCATCTGGAAAAGAGACCTTGGTCTCAGCATTGACTCCCTGTCAAAATAAAGGTTAAAGAAAAAAAGATATGACTGATTTATTTGTCTGTAGCAATTTTCTATGGGCATATCAGTGCTTGTCTGAACAGTGTTGGTAGAGGTCGGAATACCAGTGTCTGGTGCCAGGAACATGCCCAACCCACTGGCTGATAAGATAGTGAACAGATAAGCTCACCTCTTGGTCACTAGGTGGCGATCTTTCATATCAGCTCTCTCAAACCAGATGTGAGGACAGGACCTGGCCATGGACCTCTGCAGCACTCCCATCAGACCACCATGCGACTGGCCCACCTAAAACCCATCAGATCAAATTACATCTAACGTCCTCATAATACCTTTCACAGACAATTAATCTGAACAGGATTACAGTAGTAGAAGATAGTAAATTAGCAACAGATAAATGTATAGACCATTTCACAGCACTGAGACTGCACTTTCTTTATACATGCTACTCCTTGGCAATGTCATCCGTAAGCACAACATGCACTTTCATTGCCATAGTGATGATCATGATGACAAAAATGTATGCACGCATGACTGTAAGTCGCTTTGGATAAAAGCGTCTGCTAAATGGCATATTATTATTATTATTATTATTATGATACCCAATTTTATTTATCTTTGAAACCTGACAATACTTTACAGTCAGCCCGCCTTGAGACATGCCTCACTGATGTTAAACACTGGATGACAATCAAGACAGAAATGATCCTACTTGGCCACAAGAAACTCACAGTGTCAGACCTCACTCTCAACATTTATGGTTGCCTCATTACACCAAACACGGTTGTTAACAACCTTGGTATTACCTTTGACCCTGGTCTAACTTTTGACAACACATAAAAAGCATATCCAAAACCCATACTTCCATCACAGGAACATTTCCAGAATTAGACACAATGGTCCATGCATTTGTTTAAAATAGATTAGACTACTGCAATGCCCACTTCTCCACCTGCTTAGACTCTCTATTAAAAGCCTACAATTGTACAGAACACTGCAGCTTGTAATTTAACCAACACTAGAAGGCACGAGCACACCACTGCGCTACACTGGCTGCCTGTAAGGTTTTGTTCTGATTTTATGATCTTACTCTTAACCTTTAAAGCCCTGCATGGCCTTGCCCCCTCTTATCTGACAGACATGCTCGTTCTATACAACCCAGTGAGGGCTCTCCGCTTCCAAGGAGCCGGTTTGCTTTCTGTACCTAGATGCAGAAACAATGAGGGGGCAGAGCATTCTCTATCAAAGCCCCTCAGTTATGGAACAGCTTGCCCTGTCAGGTAAGAGGGGCAGGCACCATTGATAGTTTAAAATCACATTAAAAAAAAAAAACATTTTTAGCCTGGCATTTAATCAGTGATTGTTTTATGTTCTTTTATTATCCTTTTTACTGCTTCCTGATTGATTTTAAATTTTTCATTTTATTGTTTTAATATAAAGTGTGTTGCGATTTAAAATGCACTTTAAATAAAGTTAGATTTTATTTTATTTTGCTGAGTGCAAACTTGAACATTGTGAAAATTCTGTGCAACTTCCAGCGCTCGTTTACTGTGAACACTGAGACACCGCTTTAAGTTACAGTTTCAGACAGTGGTCAAGTAGGCTACCGTGGCTATTTGATCGTAATGTAGGCCTAACAGAGTGGCCTGCCATCAAAAACAACTGAGAAAATGCATCCTATAACATTTGAACATGGAAATAGCTGTTCTATAATTCAGCCTACAGTAGCAGCCAATGTGGGGTGTTCAATGTAGGCCTTCATTCCATTAGACTTTTGAAAAAAAAAACATTCAGGGCTTGACATTGACCTGTTTATTCACTTGTCCTTCAGACAAGGTGACTGAAAATGTTGTGTTGTTTGATGCAAGAAACCACTTTACAAAATAAAATGCATTATTATTCCCATACCATTATTACAGAGAATCAGACAATTTATGATACCCTCTGCCTATTGGCTACTTAGCTTATTCAAGACATTTCAAAATACAACACTGCCCCTTTAAGACAAGAAAACGCTCTTTACCCAACTCGCTTTTCAAAGATGTCTAGAAATGTACACGTTTTGTGCTTTGTAGGAAGCAATCACATTGCTGACTATAAATTATCTATAACTGGGCTAATAACTCACTAACTAGCAAAGGATATGAAAACATGTGCTCACGTGGCTACATGCAGCTCTGGCTTTGATCTCCAAACAAGCGCATCTACTCATGACCACTCATGCTGTAAACACAGTCCAGTTCAATGTGAATGGCACAGATCCATATATGGCAATGGTCTATTTGCATATACCAGGCGGTGTCAGAGGAAGGCCCTAAAAATTGCCAAAGACTCCAGCCACCCTGTTCTCTCTGCTACCGCACGGCAAGTGGTACCGGAGCGCCAAGTCTAGGTCCAAAAGGCTTCTTAACAGCTTCTAACCCCATGCCATAAGACTCCTGAACAGCTAATCAAATGGCTACCCGGACTATTTGCATTGAACCCCCCACCCCCATTTTTTACGCTGCTGCTACTCTCTGTTTATTATCTATGCATAGTCACTTTCTCTCTATCTACATGTACATATTACCTCAATTACCTCGACTAACCTGTGCCCCTGCACATTGACTCTGTACCGGTACCCCCTGTATATAGCCTTGTTACTGTTATTTTATTGTTGCTCTTTAATTATGTTAATTTTCTATTTTCTTATTTATTTTTTACTTCAGTTTATTTTAGTAAATACTTTCTTAACACTTATTTTTCTTAAAACTGCATTGTTGGTTAAGGGCTTGTAAGTAAGCATTTCACTGTAAGGTCTACACCTGTTGTACTCGGCACATTTGACAAATACAATTTGATTTGATATAGGCCTACTGTAGCTCTGGTTATGCTGCATTTGTCTGTGTAGAGTACGGGCTGAGTAGTGTGTGTCAATGCAATACAATCCTACCTGATGCGTTTTGCCTACAACAAAATCTCTTGCATAGTTAATTTTTGCATACTAAGTCTTGCATAGTTCGTTTAGTTTCGGTATGTTGCATTGAAAGTGGCTAATATTGCGTTGATTCAAATCACAATTCCCACAGTAAAGGGAAACATTGATAGTAAAACTAAGGGGGAAAACTCCAGAAAGTTGAGTGAAGTTCAATCTCGTGCTTCTTTGCGCAGGTTGATATTTCTTCATCGTGGCAGTTCCAGTTTAGAAGGAACATTGATTATAAAGGTATAAAAAATGAATCAAAAGTTTAGCCATTTCAAGCTAGGCTTAATTTCTGCTTTATTTTACATACCATGGCGTAACACCCATCATTGCAGAGAATGACAACATCAATCGGGGAGGTGTGATTGGCCACACAGATTCCTCCTTTTCTGGGTCTGTTTTCTCTGTAAAACAAGACAGAGAACACACGCAAGACACACGTTTAAGTGACAGACGTGCATCTTACATCAAAACAAAGCTCTGTGCACATATCACGAGGACCTTCCGTAGAGTCACAGGGGGACATGATGGTGTGTGAAAGCCTGCTGTGTATGCATGTGTCAGAGGAGAGGAGTGTTCACTGACTTGTTATGGTAGTGGATGGTGCAGGAGAGGCCTCGAGCACAGATCCTGTAGCACATCACATGGACCCACTCACTCAGCCAGGACTTGAGCCTAGAAAACACACACGGACACACACCACACACGTAAGAAGCTACCATGAAGCTGATTAAATACAATAACACAAGACAAACATCTCCGTTTTTAAAACAATCCCGTGTGAACCTGTAGATTCAATGCAGTGTAACTGTACCTCCAGTTAGGGAGGAATCCTACAGCAGTGGTTCCGATCACCAGCCAGGTCAGGCCTATAGATGCCAACATGATCCTGAAAGAAAACATTCTGACTCAGGAACATACATGAGACACTACAACACATTATATTGGTCATGGATTAATGCATTGTCGACACTACATGGTTTATTGCTTTGTTGGGTGTAAATCCTGTCTATGCAGCAACACCATGGTCAGTCAGTGGCACGTATGCTTGGTTCATGGATGTGAACTGTAAGAGAGCTAAGGCCTTATTAAAGGGGAGCACAGTGATGATGACTGATTTCACACTCCCAGTAATTACCTGAGCGGAGCCAGGATGCAGTAGCGTATGAACACGCCCAGGCCCCAGACCATGGTCAGTTTGAGGCTGATGTACTGGAAGTCGATGTTAGTCCGAGTTAGCAGGTTCCACGACAACAGCTCCTCTGACGAAAACCGCTGGGTCACCTGGAGGTCAGAGGAACAACATAAAAAATAACGTAGTAGGCCTACCTGTACAGAAAGTAAGTCTGGATTTTTTTTTATAGAGGTTGTACTCTTTTGTCCAATCCTGAATCAATCCCTATTCCCTGGGCCCTAAGCACTTCCATTCAATGACCACGTTTACATGCACACAGTATTCCAGATAATAGCTCATATCCCGGTTAAGGTCTTATTCAGAATAAGATGTTTACATGCACCTTTGATATTCTGCTCACGAGTATCTCTGTATCCATGAATAAACAGAAAATTCCTAATTTGCCCAGGGACGACGGAACACATTTTTGACGGGGTGCTGAAAAAGTTAAGCCTTATTTAGATATTGTTCTGCTTATAATTTCTGACATTAGGTAGGCTTCTGCCATTACTTGATGGTCTGGAATACTAAATAAAGCCTTGCTCACCAGAATAATGTCATAAATCGATAGAATGAATGCGGTAAAGTTGTCTTTAATTTCTGCTTCTCTTGCAGACAAGACGTTTAGGGACCGGGGAGATTTTCCACACAAAATTTCCAAATGACATATGTTTGTTGACCAGTTTTAAGGAAATTAAAAGCTGTGAAAACGATCCAACATGTTTCTGATAGAAATTCAGTTAATTTTGGATGCATATTTTGGGTTGAAAGTGAAATACTGTCAAGCTTATATTTTGCTGAAAAGAAATGCCCATTCACATTTCCTCAAGATGAAATAAATAAATAAATAATATTTCTCTACTCAAAATTTATATTTGGTCTATCATTTTACTGCAAGAAACACAATTCTGTCAAGGCGTGCTGAAGGTGGGTGTGGTGTATGAATCATGCGCAGGACGCAGAGGCTCAGTCCAAAGGCTTTAGTGCAATATATATCAAAGACGGAAGCACAATAAGCCCGAAGGCGAATACACGGCGCACACAGGTGACAAAACAAACGGTGCACAAACATGTGCAACATAACCTCTCCAAAAACACTGGAGGGAAAAAGTAGCTCCAAACACGAAACAGAAGCGCAATCACACACAACGACAAGCACACACAACGAGAACTAAATAGGACACTAACGAGGACTAACAAGACACAGGTGTACAACATCCAGACAAAACCAAACGAACATGAAACATAGATCGGTGGCAGCTAGTACTCCGGGGACGACGACCGCCGAAGCCTGCCCGAACCAGGAGGAGGAGCAGCCTCGGCCGAAACCGTGACAGTACCCCCCCCCCCCCCCCCCCTTGACGCGCGGCTCCAGCCGTGCGCCGACCCCGGCCTCGGGGACGACCAGGAGGACGCGGAGCAGGGCGCGCGGGATGGTCCCGGTGGAACTCCGACAGGTGAGATGGGTCTAGGATGTCCCTCCGCGGCACCCAGCACCGCTCCTCCGGGCCGTACCCCTCCCACTCCACGAGATACTGGAGACCCCCCCATCCGGCGTCTAGAGTCCAAGATGGACCAAACGGTGTACGCCGGCGCCCCCTCGATGTCCAGTGGGGGCGGAGGAGTCTCCCCTATCTCATTGTCCTGGAGTGGACCAGCTACCACCGGCCTGAGAAGAGACACATGGAACGAGGGGTTAATATTCTTATACTCAACAGGTAGATGTAACCTATAACACACCTCGTTCAATCTTCTCAGGACTTTAAAGGGCCCCACAAACCGCCGACCCAGCTTCCGGCAGGGCAGGCGGAGGGGTAGGTTCCTGGTAGAGAGCCAGACTCGATCTCCGGGTGCGTACACCGGCCCCTCACTGCGGTGGAGATCGGCGCTCGCCTTGTGACGAAGGACGGCCCGCTGCAGGTGGACGTGGGCAGCGTTCCACGTCTCTTCCGAGCGCCTCATCCAATCATCCACCGCAGGGACCTCGATCTGGCTCTGCTGCCAAGGTGCCAGAACCGGCTGGTAACCCAACACACATTGGAAGGGGGTTAGGTTAGTAGAGGAGTGGCGGAGAGAGTTCTGGGCCATCTCGGCCCAGGGAATGTACCGTGCCCACTCCTCCGGCCGGTCCTGGCAATACGACCTCAGAAACCTACCCACATCCTGGTTGACACGTTCTACCTGCCCGTTACTCTCCGGGTGGTACCCTGAGGTAAGGCTAACAGAGACCCCCAAACGCTCCATGAACGCTCTCCAAACACGAGAGGTAAACTGGGGGCCTCGATCAGACACTATATCCTCGGGTACCCCGTAATGCCGGAAGACGTGGGTAAATAGGGCCTCAGCGGTCTGTAGGGCAGTAGGAAGACCCGACATAGGGAGAAGACGACAGGCCTTAGAGAACCGATCAACAACGACCAGGATGGTGGTATTCCCCTGAGAGAGGGGAAGGTCTGTCACAAAATCCACCGAGAGGTGGGACCATGGTCGTTGTGGAACGGGCAGGGGTTGTAACTTACCCCTGGGCAGATGTCGGGGCGCCTTACACTGGGCACACACCGAGCAGGAGGAGACATAAACCCTCACATCCCTAGCCAAAGTGGGCCACCAGTATTTAGTGCTAAGGCAATGCACCGTCCGGCCGATACCCAGATGTCCAGAGGAGGGTGACGTGTGAGCCCAGTAAATGAGTCGATCCCGAATCTCGAGCGGAACGTACTTCCGACCCTCAGGACACTGTGGAGGGCTGGGGTCGGTACGCAACGCTCGCTCGATTTCGGCATCGACCTCCCACACCACCGGTGCCACAAGGCAAGACTCCGGTAGTATGGGAGTGGGCTCAACGGACCTCTCCTCCGTGTCATACCGCCGGGACAGCGCATCCGCCTTACCATTCTGGGACCCAGGGATGTACGTGATTTTAAATACGAACCTGGTGAGAAACATACTCCATCGAGCCTGGCGAGGGTTCAGTCTCCTCGCTGCCCGGATGTACTCCAGGTTCCGATGGCCAGTCAAAATGAGGAAAGGGTGTTGAGCCCCCTCAAGCCAATGCCTCCACACCTTAAGGGCTTGAACTACAGCTAACAGCTCCCTGTCCCCAACGTCATAGTTACGCTCCGCCGGGCTGAGCTTCTTTGAGTAAAAAGCACAGGGGCGGAGTTTAGGTGGCGTGCCGGACCGTTGAGAGAGAGAACGGCCCCTATACCAGCCTCAGACGCGTCTACCTCGACCTGAAAGGGTAATGCGGGATCCGGATGCGCCAGCACCGGAGCCGACGTAAACAGGTCCTTCAGTCTCCTAAAGGCCCTGTCCGCATCGGCTGACCACTGCAGGCGCACCGGACCCCCCTTCAGAAGGGACGTGATGGGAGCTGCCACCTGTCCAAAACCCCGGATAAACCTCCGGTAGTAATTCGCAAAGCCCAAAAACTGCTGCACCTCTTTTACAGTAGTTGGGGTTTGCCAATTACGCACAGCGGACACACGATCCACCTCCATTCTCACCCCTGACGCGGACAACCGATAACCCAAAAAGGAGACCGACTTCTGGAAAAACAGACATTTCTCTGCCTTGACATATAGGTCGTGCTCCAACAGCCTCCTCAATACACGACGCACCAGGGTTATATGCTCGGCTCGGGTAGACGAGTACACCAGAATGTCATCAATGTACACGACCACCCCTTGTCCCTGCATATCCCGGAAAATGTCATCTACGAAGGATTGGAAGACTGATGGAGCATTCATCAACCCATATGGCATGACGAAATATTCGAAATGACCTGACGTGGTACTAAACGCTGTCTTCCATTCGTCACCCTCCCTAATGCGCACCAAGTTATACGCGCTCCTGAGATCCAGTTTTGTGAAAAACCGCGCTCCATGCAATGACTCCGTCATGGTCGCAATCAGAGAGAGTGGATAACTGTATTTCACAGTAATCTGATTGAGACCACGGTAATCAATGCACGGGCGCAACCCTCCATCTTTCTTTTTCACAAAAAAGAAGCTCGAGGAGGCGAGAGAAGTGGAGGACCGAATGTATCCCTGTCTCAAAGATTCGGCTATGTAAGTCTCCATAGCTTTTCTCTCCTCTTGAGACAAAGGATACACATGGCTCCGTGGGAGCGCTGCTCCTGCCTGGAGATCAATCGCGCAATCCCCCTGTCTATGAGGAGGCAACTGCGTCGCCCTAGTTTTTCTAAACACGAGAGCTAAATCCCCATATTCAGGCGGAATGTGCAGTGCGGGCACTTGGTTTGGACTCTCCACCGAAGTCGCCCCCACGGAAACACCCAGACATCGCCCCTCGCACTGAGCAGACCACCCATCGAGAGCCCTCTGTTGCCACGAAATAGCAGGGTTATGGGTGCTTAACCAGGGAATCCCCAGCACCACTGGGTACGCAGGAGAGTCGATCAGATACAGCTGTATAGTCTCCTCATGACCCCCCTGCGCACACATCCGAAGTGGCGCTGTGATCTCCCTGATCAACCCCGACCCCAACGGGCGGCTATCTAAGGCATGAACGGGAAAAGGTTTGTCAACAGGTAGGAGAGGGATCCCTAACTCAAAACAAAACTTTCGATCAACAAAATTCCCAGCTGCGCCTGAATCTACTAGCGCCTTATGCTGGGAATGAGGTGCAACCTGTGGAAAACAAACAGGTATACAAAAGTGCGCAACAGAAAGCTCTGGGTAAGTGGGACGTCTACTCACCCGGGAGGCCCCCCCAGTGCGTGGCCTGTTGTCTTCTCCCCCGGAGAACCCTCCCCAGCACCTGGCCGCAGTGTGCCCTCCACGACCGCACTTGGTGCAGGAGACAGGCCCCTTCGGGCTCCTCCTCCTCCGTTCTCTAGCGCCGGCACCCCCGAGCTCCATAGGGCTCGGCTCGGAGGTGCCGGAGGGCGGAATGGACGGACTCCCCTCGGGACGTCCACGGGTGGCCAGCAGGGTGTCCAGATGGATGGACATATCGACCAACTGGTCGAAGGTAAGATGGGTATCCCTGCAGGCCAACTCACGTTGAACGTCCTCTCGTAGGCTACATCGAAAATGGTCAATGAGAGCCCGTTCATTCCACCCTGCATCCGCCGCTAGAGTCCGGTACTCTAGAGCGAACACCTGAGCGCTCCTCCTCCCCTGTCTCAAATGAACTAGACGCTCCCCCGCCGCTTTGCCCTCAGGTGGATGGTCGAACACGGCCTTGAAGCGGCGGGAGAACTCGGCGTAGGTGATGGTGTTGGCGTCCATTTTCCTCCACTCGGCGTTAGCCCACTCCAACGCCTTGCCCGTGAGACAGGAGATGAGGGCGGAAACGCTCTTGTATCCCGAGGGCACCGGGTGTACAGTGGCCAGGTAGAGCTCCACTTGCAGGAGGAACCCCTGACACCCGGCAGCTGTTCCGTCATACGCCCTCGGGAGCGAGAGCCGAATCCCCCTGGGTTCCGAACCTGGGACTGGTGGACCGACCGATGGGGTGGGCAGGGTAGGTGGAGGTGTGGGTACCCTGCTGGCCTCCCATCGGTGCAAGGTGTTGATTACCTCCTGTAGAGCGGTCTCCAGTTGTCTTATCTGGCCCTCTTGCCCACGGAGATGCTCCTCGAGCGACACAGTGTCCTATTTAGTTCTCGTTGTGTGTGCTTGTCGTTGTGTGTGACAAGCCCGATCCTGCTGATTCCATTATGGTGTGTGATTCTGTCAAGGCGTGCTGAAGGTGGGTGTGGTGTATGAATCATGCGCAGGACGCAGAGGCTCAGTCCAAAGGCTTTAGTGCAATATATATCAAAGACGGAAGCACAATAAGCCCGAAGGCGAATACACGGCGCACACAGGTGACAAAACAAACGGTGCACAAACATGTGCAACATAACCTCTCCAAAAACACTGGAGGGAAAAAGTAGCTCCAAACACAAAACAGAAGCGCAATCACACACAACGACAAGCACACACAACGAGAACTAAATAGGACACTAACGAGGACTAACAAGACACAGGTGTACAACATCCAGACAAAACCAAACGAACATGAAACATAGATCGGTGGCAGCTAGTACTCCGGGGACGACGACCGCCGAAGCCTGCCCGAACCAGGAGGAGGAGCAGCCTCGGCCGAAACCGTGACAATTCTGCAGGAGTTAATATTATAATAGGCTACATGTGAGGCCTACAGTCAGTGTCCAGACTTCAGTTACAATTCCAACTATTGCTGTTTCCAAATGAACTTCAAAGGTTATACAATGCAAACAAAAACAACAGTAAACGGGATAAGATGTTTACATGCCACAGTATCCCTCTAAGATCAGCATATCCCAGGCATCTAATTCGGGTTATTGTACTGGGATACGAGCTTATTCGGGGTATTGTAAACGGGATATGATGTTCATATACCGTCAACTCAAAAACAGAATATTTAAGTATCCCCGAATAATAACGGGATATTGGTGTGCATGTAAACGTGGTCATTGATTTGAAAGGACTGGAGGGGTGTGCAGTAGGCAATAAATTAGGAAACTCTTCCTAGCCTACCAGAGGGTTAGGTGCAGCTACATGTATTACTCAGCTCTACTAGAGGCCAGCATGGAATGTCTGGGGTTGGGGGTACATTTGGAATTAGGCATCAATCTTATTCTAGTGTGTGATCTCACCTCATCCTCTACAATATCCTCGATGCCTCGTCTGTAGAAGTAGAAACAGTCGCTGAGGGTGAAGTCTCCCCCGACTGGTGGTTTTGGGCGACTGCGCCTTAACTCCCCCAGCTCCTCCTCCATAGAACCATCATCCCTCTGGACGAGGCCTGGGGAAAAACACACATACACACACACGCACGTTCAACTAATCCACCTTATCATTTTTAGATTGGATTATATCGTACCGCCATTTGTAGTTGATAAGGAAGATGATTCAGTGTTATCTTTTACCATAGATAAAAGACCATTCACAGTATTACAAACCTAGAGCCAATAGGCTTTGAATTTTCATACATTTTGAATGAAAGGAGGACAAATTGGTCAAACCACTGTGGACTTGTTAGGAGCTGTGTCACGATCGTCGTAAGGAATAGACCAAGGCGCAGCGTGATGAACGAACATGGTTAACCTTTATTATCTTTAGTGATAATAGACCACAATAAACAAAACAAGAAACGACTTGTGAAGTCCACGGTAACAATGACCAACACGGAACAAAAACCCACAAACACAAAGGGAAAACAGACAGTTTAAATATGGCTCCCAATCAGAGACAACCAACGACAGCTGACACTCGTTGCCTCTGATTGGGAGTCACTCTAGCCAACATAGAAATAAACACAACAGAAATGAACACACCCTGGCTCAACATATAGAGTCCCAGAGCCAGGGTGTGACAAGCTGTTGATGAAGGAAATGAATCAGAGGATTGCAAACACACTTGTGTCCCTAACTCTCACACTGTTGCCCCATATTGAGAAAACAAGATATCCTGGGCTGATATCTGAGTAATCCTTATTTAACCTTATCCTAAGGTAACACTAATCCAGATATAAATAGATGAAATCCAGAGTTTATCACTGTTGGCAAGGCCTCACCAATAGAATTGTCCTACAGAATCCATATTGACAGGCCATCAAACAGAGAAAATGTCAGTGGCCTTGCACTTTACGACCACTTCAGATAACACAACAGCTGAACTGATCAGACAGCAGTGTTCACTGATAAATGAGGCTCCTTTCTTTCCTTAAAGGGCCTCCCTTTGTGTGTCTATCATCGAGGTAATCACAGGTCTAGGATCAGATTACCCAACCCCACCCCAAAGTGTATCCCTCCCTCCAGCAGGTCTGAAGACAATGGAATCAGCTAAGGAGACACTATCTGATAACAAAGGGCAAAGTCCAGGAGAGAGAGACTGAGTGACTTTGATATGCCAACAAATAAAAATGGCATATCGATGTGCTGTGCTAGCTAGTGAACACAGCACTGCGAGTTTAATTGAATTGCTCCCTGACTAGCCTATATGACTGCTGATTGTGACGGGAGGAATTGCGTCAGTTGACAGATAGGCAGCCAGCCCAGCGCCACATCATACAGTATAGCACATTGGAAATGCTCTCAGGTGACTGAGCTGGACCAATTACAGTCTTCTACTCAACAAACACTGCTCCAAGCCTTCTCCACTGCACGCCCCTGCCCTATAAACAGGTTTACACTGTCTCTAGGTTCTCAGAGGTATCGTTTTATATGACTTATCCCGCCCTTACCATTTAACGCGGCTTGGGCACATTGAGAAGCTGTATTTTAAAATGCAACCTATTATCAATTTGCAGTCAACCATTGACACCTGAGCAAAACTCATGTCAGGAGTGATTTCCATGCACTCAACCCTTCTAACTACTATGGTACACTAACATACTTAATTTATTCTAGGGCACTTTACATCTATCTGAGCTTCTGAACACAGCTTCTGAACAACAGTGGATTTGTGACCCAGTGTCCTTGAGAGATAGGAGAACCAGACTGGACTGAAACAGATAACATACTGTATAACATGTTAATTAATGATGAGTTTCTCAAGGGTAAAATAAAGTAAGTCACTGAAAACGTCACTGTTTCTCGTTCCCACACTTGCCCAGACTTGTAAGCCTAAAATATCTACTACCCAGACTTGTAAGCCTAAAATATCAACTACGCAACTTTAGGGAATCCCCCCGATCATTTCACTATCATAGACCAATGAATAAATAAATACATCTCTTCATCTCTCTATCCATCAATCATTCAATCAATCAATCAAATGAATATATTGATCAGTGTGAGAGCTCTGCTCACTGACTCACCATTGAATGAGGAGGATTTGAGTATCTGCTGCTCTTTATTGACTGTCTGGATCCTCAACGTGGCCCACTGGAGGACAGGAGAGATGAGAAATATCTTTAGCCTTAGGCCCCTCACCCCCTGACCCACAGAAGGACAGGACAGAAAGGACACACACACACACACACACACACACACACACACACATTTACCCCTGAACTCTCATCCAAGAAAACCTTTCAATCACTGTCCAGAGGCTTATTCAGGAGGTCATAAGGTTACAGGACGATTACAAAAATAATAAACAATTACACTGTAGAACATACTTTTCTGTCTAAAAACATCTATACATTCCATGTAGCATTCACAGGACCTAAGTCACATGTTCAGAGTTGTGCTAATTGATCGTTGTGTACAGTAGACTTTCCCTACAGTAAACATGTGACAGCTGTTCATGACAGTAGAGTGACAATGCATTTCTTGTTCCCGCATTCCTGAAACTGATACAATCTCCAATGTAAATAAAATGAAGGACCATGGCTAGCCTACTGGCCAAGTCATGTGTACTGTATCTTATTATATTGTGTAGTATGAAAAAAGCATACATTTAGGACACAAAGCTTATATTTAGAACATGATGCATAGCCAACATTTAAGACAATTACAGACACATGCAGCTGTACACCTCATATTGTCTGATTGGAGGAAGTTTACTAGCGTTTAAACAGTGTGTAGGTATTAGATTTCCTCTTTCCCATTTGTTGTACCCCTGTGCCAGTGAATGTTTGATGGTTGGCTACTTCTGGACAGAGGCATTTTACCTCCAGCATTTTGACCAGGATCTTCATGTATGTCTCAGAGATTCCCAGGGAGAAGCCAAACATGGCGGGCACCATGAGAAGAGCCACAATGAGGTAGGTCCACACCTTCAGCCCTGCCAGCACCATGGCCCAGAAATCCTCCATCGCTACAGACTTCTCTCTGTCACCCTGTGGAAATAACAAAAGGAGAAAGATAGTAGTAGTAATAGAGTACATATAGGGGGCTAGGGGACATAAATACACAAAACATTCAACCAAGGGTATCAGAGTAGCCTTTTCTGTTAGCTGCTTTTTTATTTACACACTAGCGTTGCTAAGAATTGGCTTGCAAAAAAAGGGAATAGTCCGTCTGAAGCCAGAAGTTAAACAAAATACAATTTTAACTTACTCTGCCGATTGTCTATAGGGTTGGTCCTTATGCAGGGGGGAAATTTAGAAAAAACATCTAATAGAGCATAAATTAAACAGACTTTCCAAACGTGGGTCTCTTGTAGAGCCACTTCCTCTCCGCTTCCCTTATGTCAAAATAAAGGTCCTGCACGTGCGCCATACCTGCACAAAAAAGCAAGAACGTGTGGGGAACTTTTATTTTTGACATGAGGTAAGCAGAGAGAAACTGACCTCGCTGAGGAATTGCATGGGTCTACAACAGACCCACGTTTGGAAATTCTGTTTAATTATACTTTCCATTAGGTGTTTTTTTCTCAAATTCCCCCCTGCATAAGGACCAAGCCTACAGACAATCGACAGAGTAAGTAGAAATTAAATTGAATTAAACTTCTGGCTTCTGGCGGACTATTCCGTAAAAATAAAATACAAAAAAATGTATGCACACATGACTAAGTAGCTTTGGATAAAAGCGTCTGCTAAATGGCATATTATTATTATTATTATTTCGTTTTTTTTGCAAGCTAATTCACAGCAACGTTAGTGTGTAAATACTAGTGTTATTAAAAGCAGCTACCTCCCTGTATTCGTGAAGTATTCAGACCCCTGACTTTTTCCACATCTTGTTACGTTACAGCCTTATTCTAAAATTTATTAAATTGTTTTCCCCCCCCTCATCAAACTACACACAATACCCCATAATGACAAAGCAAAAACAGGGTTTTTGATTATTTTGCAAATGTATACACAATTAAAAACAGAAATACCTTATTTACATAGGTATTCAGGCCCTTTGCTATGAGACACGAAATTGAGCTCAGGTGCATCCTGTTTCCATTGGTCATCCTTGAGATGTTTCTACAACTTTTTGGGAGTCCACCTGTGGCAAATTCAATTTATTGGACATGATTTGGAAAGGCACACACCTGTCTATATAATGTCCCCCAGTTGACAGTGCATGTCAGAGCAAAAACCAAGCCATGAGGTCGAAGGAATTGTCCGTAAAGCACCGAGACAGGATTGTGTCGAGGGACAGATCTGGGGAAGGGTACCAACATATTTCTGCAGGATTGAAGGTCCCTAAGAGCACAGTGGCATCCATCATTCTTAAATTGAAGAAGTTTGGAACCACCACCAAGACTCTTCCTAGAGCTGGCACCCGGGCCAAACTGAGCAATCAGGGGAAAAGGGCCTTGGTCAGAGAGGTGACCAAGAACCCGATGGTCACTCTGACAGAGCTCCAGAGTTATTCTATGGAGACAGGTTTTTAGAAATGTTTGCAAATTTATTTTTAAAAAAACATTTACATAAGTATTCAGACCCTTTACTCAGTACTTTGTTGAAGCACCTTTGGCAGCAATTACAACCTTGAGTCTTCTTGGGTATGACGGTACAAGCTTGGCATACCTGTATTTGGGGAGTTTCTCCCATTCTTCTCTGCAGATCCTCTCAAGCGCTGTCAGGTTGGATTGGGAGAGTTGCTGCACAGCTATTTTCAGGTTTCTCCAGAGATATTAGATCGGGTTCAAGTCCGGGCTCTTGCTGGGCCACTCAAGGACATTCAGAGACTTGTCCCCAAGCCACTCCTGCGTTGTCTTGGCTGTGTGCTTAGGGTCGTTGTCCTGTTGGAAGATGAACCTGCGTCCCAGTCTGAGGTCCTGAGCGCTCTGGAACAGGTTTTCATCAAGGATCTCTCTGTACTTTTCTCCGTTCATCTTTGCCTCGATCCTGACTAGTCTCCCAGTCCCTGCCACTGAAAAACTTCCCCACAGCATGATGCTGCCACCACCATACTTCACCGTAGGGATGGTGCCAGGTTTCCTCCAGACGTGACACTTGGCATTCAGGCCAAAGAGTTCAATCTTGGTTTCATCAGACAAGACAATCTTGTTTCTCATGGTCAGAGTCTTTAGGTGCCTTTTGGCAAACTCCAAGCGGGCTGTCATGCCTTTTACTGAAGAATGGCTACCGTCTGGCCACTCTACCAAAAAGGCCTGATTGTTTGAATGCTGCAGAGATGGTTGTCCTTCTGGAAGGTTCTTTCATCTCCACAAAGGAACTCTAGAGCTCGGTCAGAGTGACCATCCGGCTCTTTGTCACCTACCTGACCAAGGCCCTTCTCCCACGATTGCTCAGTTTGGCCAGGTGGCCAGCTCTAGGAAGAGTCTTGGTGGTTCCAAACTTCTTCCATTTAAGAATGATGGAGGCCACTGTGTTCTTGGGGACCTTCAATCCTGCAGAAATGTTTTGGTACCCTTCCCCAGATCTGTGCCTCGACACAATCCTGTCTCGGAGCTCTACGGATAATTCCTTCAACCTCATGGCTTGGTTTTTGCTCCGACATGCACTGTAAACTGTGGGACCTTACATAGACAGGTGTGTGCCTTTCCAAATCATGTCCAATCAATTGAATTTACAACAGGTGGACTCCAATCAAGTTGTAGAAACATCTCAAGGATGATCAATGGAAACCGGATGCACCTGAGCACAATTTCGAGTCTCATAGCAAAGGGTCTGAATACTTATGTAAATAAGGTATTTCTGTTTTTTACTTTCATTAAATTAGCAAAGATTTCTAAAAACCTGTTTTCACTTTGTCATTATGGGGTATTGTGTGTAGATTGATGAGGATTTTTATTTCTTTAATCCATTTTAGAATAAGGCTGTAACGTAACAAAATGTGGAAAAAGTCAACGGGTCTGAAAACTTTCCGAAGGCACTGTAAGTGTACTTTAGCCCAGTCTGACATGCTGCCTGGTCTTTTATGACACAGGAGTTCAGGATGTTGCTGGTTCAATATCTGACAGTACTACCTCAATTGCTACAGTTAAAGATTTAGTTCAACCAAATTACATATTGTAAGCAGTCTATGGGCAAGGTAAAACAGCAATCCATGATTTGATCAATGATGCTTTGGACTAGCTCTCGTTCACCAAAGAGGACTCCCTCTTTGGTTCTCAGTTGAAGCATTGAGGACGGCGTGGGACTGTGTACTGTACAATAGTCCCGACGCTCTGTCTACACGTTAATAATCCTCGCTTGCGATACGGTTTTGGAAACCTTTGGAAGTTTACTTCCAATCAATAAATACTTTTCATAAAACAAAAGGTTTAATTACTACACACCATTATAGGGTTAGGATTCCCACACAACGATATTTCCATGTTACAGCGCTTGTTTACAGAAGAGAGGCCACGACCACCTGTTCTAATTAACTATCTCGTCTCCGAACACCTGTTCGTAACGGAAGGACGCCAGAAAAGTGTTGTAACTGAGTAGTGTCGACTGCAACTGTATTAAAACAGTGTACAGTAAGTGTATATTTAGCATTTGTGAAAATGTTTTGATGTGAAATGAAAGTAGAGGGCTTTATGTTTCTAGAACCGTATCGCAATTAAGAATCCATTCATGTTTAGATGAAGTATTTGGCTGTTTTGGCTGCCAAAGCCAGTTTACCTCAAGGAATTGAAAAATTGTATGGTTGAGAGGGATGAGGCAAAAGGAAAGGCAAATAAGTCTGGTTGCACAACCGATTGGCAAACGTATTGCAAATTGAGAAATCATGTGACTAAACTGAATAAAAAGAAACAACACTATGAAACAAGGATAAATGACATAAAGAATGATAGCAAAAAGCTTTGGAGCACCTTAAATGAAATTTTGGGAAAAAAGGCAAACTCAGCTCAATCATTCATTGAATCAGATGGCTCATTCATCACAAAACCAACTGATATTGCCAACTACTTTAATAATTGGTTTTGTGATGAATGAGCCATCTGATTCAATGAATGATGGAGCTGAGTTTGCCTTTTATCCCAAAATTTCATTTAAGGTGCTCCAAAGCTTTTTGCTATCATTCTTTATGTCATTTATCCTTGTTTCATAGTGTTGTTTCTTCTTCTTTTTATTCAGTTTAGTCACATGATTTCTCAATTTGCAATACGTTTGCCAATCGGTTGTGCAACCAGACTTATTTGCCTTTCCTTTTGCCTCATCCCTCTCAACCATACAATTGTTCAATTGCTTGAGCAAGATTAGCAAATTTAGGCATGACATGCCAGCAACAATTGCTGACACTACACATCCAAATATATCTGACCAAATTATGAAAGACAAGCATTGTAATTTTGAATTCCGTAAAGTGAGTGTGGAATAGGTGAAAAATTATTGTTGTCTATTAACAATGACAAGCTACCGGGGTCTGACAACTTGGATGGAAAATTACTGAGGATAATAGCGGACGATATTGCCACTCCTATTTGCCATATTTTCAATTTAAAGCCTACTAGAATGTATGTGTCCCCAAGGCTTAGAGGGACGCAAAAGTCATTCCGCTACCTAAGAATAGTAAAGCCCCCTTTACTGGCTCAAATAGCCGACCAATTAGCCTGTTACCAACCCTTAGTAAACTTTGGGAAAAAATTGTGTTTGACCAGATACAATGCTATTTTACAGTAAACAAATTGACAACAAACTTTCAGCATGCTTATAGAGAAGGACATTCAACAAGCACAGCACAAATGACTGATGATTGGCTGAGAGAAATTGATGATAAAATGATTGTGGGGGCTGTTTTGTTAGACTTCAGTGCGGCTTTTGACATTATCGATTATAGTCTGCTGCTGGAAAAACGTATGTGTTATGGCTTTACACCCGCTGCTATAATGTGGATAAAGAGTTACTTGTCTAACAGAACCCAGATGGTGTTCTTTAATGGAAGCCTCTCAAACTTAATCCAGGTAGAATCAGGAATTCCCCAGGTGCAGATGTTTAGGCCCCTTACTTTTTTCCATCTTTACTAACGACATGCCACTGGCTTTGAGTAAAGACAGTGTTTCTATGTACAGTGGGGGGAAAAAAGTATTTAGTCAGCCACCAATCGTGCAAGTTCTCCCACTTAAAAAGATGAGAGAGGCCTGTAATTTTCATCATAGGTACACGTCAACTATGACAGACAAATTGAGGGGAAAAAAAACCCGAAAATCACATTGTAGGATTTTTTATGAATTTATTTGCAAATTATGGTGGAAAATAAGTATTTGGTCACCTACAAACAAGCAAGATTTCTGGCTCTCACAGACCTGTAACTTCTTCTTTAAGAGGCTCCTCTGTACTCCACTCGTTACCTGTATTAATGGCACCTGTTTGAACTTGTTATCAGTATAAAAGACACCTGTCCACAACCTCAAACAGTCACACTCCAAACTCCACTATGGCCAAGACCAAAGAGCTGTCAAAGGACACCAGAAACAAAATTGTAGACCTGCACCAGGCTGGGAAGACTGCATCTGCAATAGGTAAGCAGCTTGGTTTGAAGAAATCAACTGTGGGAGCAATTATTAGGAAATGGAAGACATACAAGACCACTGATAATCTCCCTCGATCTGGGGCTCCACGCAAGATCTCACCCCGTGGGGTCAAAATGATCACAAGAACGGTGAGCAAAAATCCCAGAACCGCACGGGGGGACCTAGTGAATGACCTGCAGAGAGCTGGGACCAAAGTAACAAAGCCTACCATCAGTAACACACTACGCCGCCAGGGACTCAAATCCTGCAGTGCGAGACGTGTCCCCCTGCTTAAGCCAGTACATGTCCAATGTCCAGGCCCGTCTGAAGTTTGCTAGAGTGCATTTGGATGATCCAGAAGAGGATTGGGAGAATGTCATATGGTCAGATGAAACCAAAATAGAACTTTTTGGTAAAAACTCAACTCGTCGTGTTTGGAGGACAAAGAATGCTGAGTTGCATCCAAAGAACACCATACCTACTGTGAAGCATGGGGGTGGAAACCATCATGCTTTGGGGCTGTTTTTCTGCAAAGGGACCAGGACGACTGATCCGTGTAAAGGAAAGAATGAATGGGGCCATGTATCGTGAGATTTTGAGTGAAAACCTCCTTCCATCAGCAAGGGCATTGAAGATGAAACGTGGCTGGGTCTTTCAGCATGACAATGATCCCAAACAACACCGCCCGGGCAATGAAGGAGTGGCTTCGTAAGAAACATTTCAAGGTCCTGGAGTGGCCTAGCCAGTCTCCAGATCTCAACCCCATAGAAAATCTTTGGAGGGAGTTGAAAGTCCGTGTTGCCCAGTGACAGCCCCAAAACATCACTGCTCTAGAGGAGATCTGCATGGAGGAATGGGCCAAAATACCAGCAACAGTGTGTGAAAACCTTGTGAAGACTTACAGAAAACGTTTGACCTGTATCATTGCCAACAAAGGGTATATAACAAAGTATTGAGAAACTTTTGTTATTGACCAAATACTTATTTTCCACCATAATTTGCAAATAAATTCATTAAAAATCCTACAATGTGATTTTCAGGATTTTTTTCCTCATTTTGTCTGTCATAGTTGACGTGTACCTATGATGAAAATTACAGGCCTCTCTCATCTTTTTAAGTGGGAGAACTTGCACAATTGGTGGCTGACTAAATACTTTTTTTCCCCACTGTATGCGGATGACTCAACACTATACACGTCAGCTGCTACAGCAACTGAAATAACTGCAACACTTAATAAAGAGTTGCAGTTAGTTTCGGAATGGGTGGCAAGGAATAAGTTAGTTCTAATAATCTCCAAAACTAAAAGCATTGTATTTGGGTCAAATCATTCACTAAACCCTAAACCTCAACTACATCTAGTAATAAATCATGTGGAAATTGAGCAAGTTGAGGTGACTAAACTGCTTGGAGTAACCCTAGATTGTAAACTGTTGTGGTCAAAGCATATTGATACAACAGTAGCTAAGATGGGGAGAAGTATGTCCATAATTAAGCGCTGCTCTGCCTTCTTAACAACACTATCAACAAGGCAGGTCCTAAAGGCCCTTGTTTTGTCGCACCTTTACTACTGTTCAGTAGTGTGGTCAGGTGCCACAAGGAGGGACTTGGAAAATTGCAGTTGGCTCAGAACAGGGCAGCACGGCTGGCCCTTAAAAGTACACGGAGAGCTAACATTAATGACATGCATGTTAGTCTCTCCTGGCTTAGAGTGGAAGAGAGATTGACTTCATCACTGCTTGTTTTTTTAAGAGGTGTAGACAAGCTGAATATACCGAGCTGTCTGTATGGAATGCTGGCACACAGCTCGGACACCCATGCATACCCCACGAGACATGCCACCAGAGGTCTCTTCATAGTCCCCAAGTCCAGAACAGACTACGGGAAACGCACAGTACTACATAGAGCCAGGACTACATGGAACTCTATTCCACATCATGTAACTCAGTCAAGCAGTAAAATCAGATTTAAAAAACAGATAAAACTACATTTTATGGAACAGCGCAGACTGTGAAGAGACACACACACACACACAGGCACACACACAGCATTCGCAAACACATGCTAACACACACACACTCTACACACACACACATGTTAATATTGTTATTTTGCTGTATTATTGATTTTGTATTGTAAATATGTTATGGTAGAGTAGTGTGTAATAAGGTGTTGTGTTATGTATTGTTTTATTGTATGTAAATTGTGGTTGGACCCCAGGAAGAGTAGCTGCTGCCTTGGCAGACGCTAATGGGGATCCGTAATAAATACAAATACAAACATAACATTTAAGGCAAATAGGACATTAAAAGGAGTACATCTTGGGCTAGCGTTTGACATGAAATATGAAATATACTAAGAGATATTGACTTGCATTGGATTTGTGCCACAAATGCTAGAAAAGTCAGCTTTTGGAGACAGTGGCCAGGTTAACAAAACCAAAGCATGGATCGCTGTCTTGTCCATAGACTGTTTACTGGGTAAAGAAACCAATCTGTCATTTCGGTTTATGGATGAACTATCCCTTTAACTATAGGCTAGATAAGGAAGAAAATGATACAACCCTGATTTTCAGGAAGAAGGCAGAACATGGGCTCACAGCAGGTAAGTGTGTGACTACGTAAAGCAGAATGAAACAAATATATGAATAACATAGAAAGTGTACTATTTGATCAAACGCAAAATGAGCGTTCAACACATCCAAGGCGCATGTCTAAAATAACAGCAACACGTGACAATTTCAAATGCGATAGAAAGAAGCTCAACATTTGATTTTCACAAACGTAGGTAGGCTCAGTGGGCAATGACATTTCAAAGAAAGCCTACCAACTTGATTGAGCTTGAGCAACATATACGCACGTCACCAATAACCCAATTCAACAACAATAGGCAATCATATAAACATACAATGAATATACAACTTCACCAAATCGCTAGACAAATAACCGTGGGCGAATTTTCAAGACCTGGCTGGACAATCACAAAGTTATTTCCCTGATATTCAGGCCGGCGCGTTGTGGATCTTACCTGTCAAACTCCAGTCCATACTATCATGCCCTTCCCTGCTGTAGAACTCATACAAATAACTGTGACTGAGGTTGAGACCGCAAGCCACCGCTGTAGTAAAAGCGCGCTGTCAGGTAGAACAGCGCCATCCCTTGGCCAAATAAAATAACAGTTTATAGGTCATATCCGCATATTTGCAGATGTTATCTCAGGTGCAGAGAAATGCTTGTTTTTCTAGCTTTCTGCAGTAATATCTAGCAATAAAAAAATAACAATACACACAATTCAGAAAAATAAACAAATATGTTATATAGGATGAGCCATGACTAAAACACAGTATATACATATAAAGTGGGTGAAACAGTATGTAAACATTATTAAAGTGACCAGTGTTCAAGGACAATGTACAGTGGGGGAAAAAAGTATTTAGTCAGCCACCAATTGTGCAAGTTCTCCCACTTAAAAAGATGAGAGGGGCCTGTAATTTTCATCATATGTACACGTCAACTATGACAGACAAAATGAGAAAAACAAATCCAGAAAATCACATTGTAGGATTTGTAATGAATTTATTTGCAAATTATGGTGGAAAATAAGTATTTGGTCAATAACAAAAGTTTCTCAATACTTTGTTATATACCCTTTGTTGTCAATGACACAGGTCAAACGTTTTCTGTAAGTCTTCACAAGGTTTTCACACACTGTTGCTGGTATTTTGGCCCATTCCTCCATGCAGATCTCCTCTAGAGCAGTGATGTTTTGGGGCTGTTGCTGGGCAACATGGACTTTCAACTCCCTTCAAAGATTTTCTATGGGGTTGAGATCTGGAGACTGGCTAGGCCACTCCAGGACCTTGAAATGCTTCTTACGAAGCCACTCCTTCGTTGCCCGGGCGGTGTGTTTGGGATCATTGTCATGCTGAAAGACCCAGCCACGTTTCATCTTCAATGCCCTTGCTGATGGAAGGAGGTTTTCACTCAAAGTCTCACGATACATGGCCCCATTCATTCTTTCCTTTACACGGATCAGTCGTCCTGGTCCCTCTGCAGAAAAACAGCCCCAAAGCATGATGGTTCCACCCCCATGCTTCACAGTAGGTATGGTGTTCTTTGGATGCAACTCAGCATTCTTTGTCCTCCAAACACGACGAATTGAGTTTTTACCAAAAAGTTCTATTTTGGTTTCATCTGACCATATGATATTCTCGCAATCCTCTTCTGGATCATCCAAATGCACTCTAGCAAACTTCAGACGGGCCTGGACATTGGACATGTACTGGCTTAAGCAGGGGGACACGTCTGGCACTGCAGGATTTGAGTCCCTGGCGGCGTAGTGTGTTACTGATGGTAGGCTTTGTTACTTTGGTCCCAGCTCTCTGCAGGTCATTCACTAGGTCCCCCCGTGCGGTTCTGGGATTTTTGCTCACCGTTCTTGTGATCATTTTGACCCCACGGGGTGAGATATTGCGTGGAGCCCCAGATCGAGGGAGATTATCAGTGGTCTTGTATGTCTTCCATTTCCTAATAATTGCTCCCACAGTTGATTTCTTCAAACCAAGCTGCTTACTTATTGCAGATTCAGTCTTCCCAGCCTGGTGCAGGTCTACAATTTTGTTTCTGGTGTCCTTTGACAGCTCTTTGGTCTTGGCCATAGTGGAGTTTGGAGTGTGACTGTTTGAGGTTGTGGACAGGTGTCTTTTATACTGATAACAAGTTCAAACAGGTGCCATTAATACAGGTAACGAGTGGAGGACAGAGGAGCCTCTTAAAGAAGAAGTTACAGGTCTGTGAGAGCCAGAAATCTTGCTTGTTTGTAGGTGACCAAATACTTATTTTCCACCATAATTTGCAAATAAATTCATAAAAAATCCTACAATGTGATTTTCTGGAGAAAAAAAATCTCAATTTGTCTGTCATGGTTGACGTGTACCTATGATGAAAATTACAGGCCTCTCTCATCTTTTTAAGTGGGAGAACTTGCACAATTGGTGGCTGACTAAATACTTTTTTTCCCCACTGTACATAAGGCAGCAGTCTCTAAGGTGCAGGGTAGAGTACCGGGTGGTAGCCGGCTAGAACAGTGACTAAGGTTCAGGGCAGGGCACTGGGCGAAGGCCGGCTAGTGGTGACTATTTAACAGTCTGATGGCCTGGAGATAGAGGTTTCTCAGTCTCTCATTCCCAGCTTTGATGCACCTGTACTGTCACTCTCTCGTCAGGACACTGTTGCTTAGAGGAGCTAGTCAACAACACAGCTAACACAATCACTTCAAATTGAAGCTGGAAAGACAACAAACTAGCTGCACTTAATTTCCTTTTTGTCACGATCGTCGTAGAGAGTAGACCAATGCGCAGCGTTAGTTGCGAACATACTTAACTTTATTATCTTAAGTGATAATATAACAACAAAACAATAAACGAAACGTGCAGTCCTACGGTTAACACAGAAACAACCAAACGGAAACAAGATCCCACAAACACTAAGGGAAACAGACTGTTTAAATATGGCTCCCAATCAGAGACAACCAGCAACAGCTGACACTCGTTGCCTCTGATTGGGAGCCACTCTGGCCAACATAGAAAAGCAACAACTAGAACTCCCACACAGAACATAAACACATAGAATCTACACACCCTGGCTCAACATATAGAGTCCCCAGAGCCAGGGTGTGACAGTACCCCCCCCCCCAAAGGCGCGGACTGCGACCGCGCCTCAACAAAACCCAAACAGGGGAGGGCTGGGTGGGCATTCCTCCTCGGAGGCGGTTCCGGCTCCGGGCTTGACCACCACCCTTCAATAATCCCCCCGTAGCGCCCCTGGTCCGGTCTGGCCCCGCTGGCTGGAGCTGGACTGGACATCGAAGGAGCGGATTGCTTGAGCTCCGTTGTGGAGCAGCTGACCAGTACCTGATCAGGCACCGGTGACCCAGGCACGGGTTGTGCCGGACTGACGACGTGCACCCCTGGCTTGGTGCGTGGAGCAGGAACGGACCGGGCTGACGATGCGCACCCCTGGCTTGGTGCGTGGAGCAGCAACGGGCCGGACCGGGCTGACGATACGCACCCCTGGCTTGGTGCGTGGAGCAGGAACGAACCGGACCGGGCTGATGATGCGCACCCCTGGTTTGGTGCGTGGAGCAGCAACGGGCCGGACCGGGCTGACGATATGCACCCCTGGCTTGGTGCGTGAAGCAGGAACGGGCCGTACCGGGCTGACGACTCGCACCCCTGGCTTGGTGCGAGTGGCAGGAACAGGCCGGGCCGGGCTGGCAACGCGCACCGTAGGCTTGGTGCGAGTGGCAGGAACAGGCCGGGCCGGGCTGGCGACGCGCACCGTAGGCTTGGTGCGAGGAGCAGGAACAGGCCGGGCTGGGCTGGCGACGCGCACCGTAGGCTTGGTGCGAGTGGCAGGAACAGGCCGGGCCGGGCTGGCGACGCGCACCGTAGGCTTGGTGCGAGGGGCAGGAACAGGCCGGGCCGGGCTGGCGACGCACACCGTAGGCTTGGTGCGAGGGGCAGGAACAGGCCGGGCCGGGCTGGCGACGCACACCGTAGGCTTGGTGCGAGTGGCAGGAACAGGCCGGGCCGGGCTGGCGACGCGCACCGTACACTTGGTGCGAGGAGCAGGACCAGGCCGGGCCGAGCTGGCGCCGCGCACCGTACACTTTGTGCGAGGGGCAGGAACAGGCCGGGCCGGGCTGGCGACGCGCACCGTACACTTGGTGCGAGGAGCAGGAACAGGCCGGGCCGGGCTGGCGACGCGCACCGTACACTTGGTGCGAGGAGCAGGAACAGGCCGGGCCGGGCTGGCGACGCGCACCGTACACTTGGTGCGAGGGGCAGGAACAGGCCGGGCCGGGCTGGCGACGCGCACCGTACACTTGGTGCGAGGAGCAGGAACAGGCCGGGCCGGGCTGGCGACACACACCGTACACTTGGTGCGAGGGGCAGGAACAGGCCGGACCGTACTGGGAACACACACCACTGGCCTTAAACGGGGATCAGGAACGGGCCGGACCGGCAATACACCTCAGTACCTCTCGCCGCGCCTCTACATCTTCCTTCCCTCTTCTCACCAATGGCTCCCGTAACCTGGTGGCCTTCTGAATTCGGCCCTTATCTGCCTCCAGCAGCCCCGTCATCCATGCCATGTGCCCCCCCCTAAAATTTTGCCTCTCGTCCGTCCGACGACGACGACACTGTTGACGCCGTTGCTCCTCTCTCCGTCGCGCCTCTACCGTCTCACTCCATGGACGGCGATCCATCCCGGCCTGGATTTCCTCCCAGGTCCAGGACCCCTGCCTGTCCAATATTTGCTCCCACGTCCAGGCTGCCTGCTCCTGGACACGCTGCTTGGTCCTGGTATGGTGGGATCTTCTGTCACGATCGTCGTAGAGAGTAGACCAATGCGCAGCGTTAGTTGCGAACCTACTTAACTTTATTATCTTAAGTGATAATATAACAACAAAACAATAAACGAAACGTGCAGTCCTACGGTTAACACAGAAACAACCAAACGGAAACAAGATCCCACAAACACTAAGGGAAAACAGACTGTTTAAATATGGCTCCCAATCAGAGACAACCAGCAACAGCTGACACTCGTTGCCTCTGATTGGGAGCCACTCTGGCCAACATAGAAAATCAACAACTAGAACTCCCACACAGAACATAAACACATAGAATCTACACACCCTGGCTCAACATATAGAGTCCCCAGAGCCAGGGTGTGACACTTTTACCTGTTTTCTGTTGGTATTTCTTTGTATACAGTACCAGTCAAAATTTTGGACACACCTACTCATTCAAGGCTTTATTTTTACTATTTTGTACATTGTAGAATAATAGTGAAGATATCAAAATTATGAAAAAACACATATGGAATCATGTAGTAAACAAAAAAGTGTTAAACAAATCAAAATATATTTTATATTTGAGATTCTTCAAATAGCCACCCTTTGCCTTGACAGAATAGCACACTCTTGGCATTCTCTTCACCTGGAATGCTTTTTCAACAGTCTTGAAGGAGTTCCCACATATGCTGAGCACTTGTTGGCTGCTTTTCCTTCA